CCGCGTGAAATGCAAAATACTCGGTAATTTATAAAGCAAACGAATAATTTCTTGAATGAAGTATAAATCGGCATGGATCGAAACGAATGTAGGAAACGATCGGCGAGCATTAACCATTTAGCAGCGGGTAACTTACAATTTGCCCGGACTTTGACATTTCGCCGGTGTCGACGAAGCATCAGCTGTTCAACTCGCTGTTCCGTTCGCTTGCTCCTAACCCACCGCTCTAAAAGTCCCTAGAAAGCGTACGAAAATTGTTGAGTCAACGTCTAGTATCCTAACCTCTTCGTCGAATTGTGCAAGTATCAGAATCGTCGAGATACGATGCTTTCCGTTCGCTTTCGTTTTTAAATCAGTGGCCCTTCGATTTAAAGTTCTCCGAATCGAAGAAAAACCGTTCCAAAGATATCAATAAACGAGTTTCGTGGTTCGAGGTTCACTCGTCAACAAACTCGAACAGAACTCGGCCGATTGCACAGCATCGTTTCGATGTTGGCGAACAACGAATCGGTGAGTAGAATGCGAATACAGTACGAATACAATACGAATGCGAATGAAATAAGTACGTGTTTTCGTGGAAGAAGTGTCACTCTGTTTTTGATCTTATACGTATGCAGCCCTTTTCCCCCACGCGAACGAACTGCGAGCAGTGCGATCGCTATTAATTTTTCATCCGTGGAAAAATAAATTTCGATAACCGCTGTTATTCTATTTTATTCTTGTTCTGTGTCTTTTCTTTATTTTAAATATCTCGCTTGACAATGTAGCGAGAACCACCGTGCCTTTTCCACTCTTTTGAATCAGCCCGTATTCGCTGAGTAATCTCTTTTTGTTGCACCGACTATTTTGTGCCGCGCTATTGGCCCTCTTGCGTTTACTTTTCAGCACTCTCGTTCACGCGGATCACTTTCGAATGTCTATGAACGACGCGCGGTGTAAACAACAATGAACGATGCATCGTTTTAGATAATTTAACTATAGAATGGTACAACTATAGAATGGTATGACTATAGAATCGTACTCGCGGGTTAATGAACCACCGCACAGTGGGGCGAGCGTATAGTACGATTGGACATTGGTACAACTAAGTATGAAATCAGTAAAATATGTTAAATATTTATTATGAATTGTTCTCAGAAGGTATCTGTTTATATAATAATACTTATTTTTGTCATTTTTGTACTTATCTTATTATTTAATATAAATATTTATTCATTACCTTTTATAGATTCAAATCCATTTCTTCTTCCAAAAGTTGTTTTGCTTCTGGATGCATTTCCCTGTGCTGTGTAGTAGTTGTAGGTCTCAAATGTAAAATTATCGGATCTAAATTAATTAATAAATTGTTTAAAATGTCCCTGTTATTGTCGACTCTTGACATCTTTCTTGAATGTAATTCTCTATATGATCGGAAGAACTTATGGTTTGCTTCTTGTGCATCTTCTGCTAATTGTCCTATTGGTACTATTGCGTTTTTTATGATGTCTGATCCATGAATCAGAAGTTTGTGAACAGTTACAGGCATATCATACCAATTATATTTTGATATGTACATTTCAGCGGTTTCACTGGCGTAGATTTCAAATTTATTTGGATTAATTGCTAATCCTGAAGATACTGCTTGTAATATTGCTGCAAAACGTATTATTAAATTAACATCTATTCCGGATAACTCGAGGAATGCAAAAATATTTCTGGCCGTGTTCCCATCATTGGATGTTCCTTTTCCTTGTTCTACATAATCAACTAATAGGCCCATTTTATTTTTAAATTCCTTTTGAATATATATCTTTTTTTTTCTTCAAATTGTTGCTTATGAAATCTGGTAGTCCAGCATTTAAAATCTAATCTGTACGCAATGTGTATTAAGCATTCGAAGCATCTAATTAAACAGTGTAAGGGGGATAATCCAAAAGAATAGTAGTTAATATTGCTGGTCCTGGTGGATATTAAACTGTTCAAGATAGCTTTTATCCCTTTTTCGTACAGTACCGTAGTATGTGCATATACGTTTCAAAACTTTGTTATAAACCACAGTTTTTTTTAATTTCTCCAATCTTTAACTTTTGTATTGTGATATACATATTTCTTATAGTTGATACTGGATAAGTGAATATTATTATTGTTGGGAAAAATATAATAGACATTCCACTTAGATCCATTAGTGTCTCCCAAAAAGGCAGCATCAACAATTAAATTAAATTTCTGACGAAAAATCAACTAAAAGCAAGAACTACGTGAATGGTTACAATCTACATACTTCCTAAAAACAAATGGTGCAAAGTATTGTCTGGGCGAATTTAGGCGATTTTTATAATTGAGTAAAACATTTATAACTTCTGCAATCAAATGTAACAAAGTTCTGTTGTACATTTAAATCATCTTTCTGTTTATTTTAGAATTACAATCCCAACATTAGATATTGCACACATTCTTTTGGTAATGTCATATAATACAAGAATTACAATGTAAATTAAAGAAAAGATAAATAGATCAACGTAACTAATTTCAGATGTTATGAAGAAAATAGTGAAGCAAAACGTAATAATACTATGAAACATAATTGTCAAAGGTTTAAAAATTCATTAAAATGTATTTAGGTTTAAAAATTTGTATGTTTATTTTTTGCTTCAATGTCCAACATTTTTACAGTGTCATCCCACTGTGCACCGGTGAATTCGTGTCCGGTTACGGCCACAGTGGCGATGCTTACCAATTATCAGGTGATCGTCTTCCTAGGTTGTAAACACAAATAACTTTAATATTTCGACGCTCTATAGTTTTTACTTTCTCGCTTTGTAACTTTGTCTATGACGAAAGATGAAATAAAATAGGTATATATTGTGTTTAAACGTTTAGGTTAGTTAACAAAAGTATAAAGTTTGTGTAGTTAATTTACAGTACTGTTTTTTGTAAAATAAATCTTATTGGCTCAGGGGCTCATTTTTTTTTTGGTTATAACTTATAGAATCTTGTAGTTTCCGACCTGAAAAGTCCGAAAATGCAGATTAAAAATTTAGGAAATAGATAGTTTAAAAGATACGAGTAGATAAAGATGTGTGTATTTGGCGTACTTTAACAGACGTGGCGATGCCATATTGCCTCTTCCCGTCCTCTGATTGGTTCGCACAGATGACCGTTCAATTCGCGCGAACCAATCAGAGGACGGGAAGAGGCAATATGGCGTCGCATAGCATGTTAAAATAGGCCAAATACACACATCTTTATGTACTCGTATCTTTTAAACTATTTATTTCCCAAATTTTTTAACTTGCATTTTCGGACTTTTCAGGTCAAAAACTACAAGATTTTATAGGTTTTAACAAAAAAAAAAAATGAGCCACTGAGTTACGAACCAATCAGAGTATGGGTAGAGGCAATATGGCGTCGTCCAGACCTGTCAAAATACACTAAATACACATATCTTTATGTACTCGTATCTTTTGAACTATTTGTTTCTTAAATATTTAACTTGCATTTTCCGACATTTCAGGTCAAAAACTATAAGTTGACTGCGAATCTTTATGCATTTATGGGAAACTTGAATGTGCAAGACCGTGTGTCACGTTTCGCATATAAAACTTAGCCGTGATGTCGGTAGGCATGCGCTGCCTGCGCGCGACTTTTACTCTCAAGAATTTCAGATGTTTTAGGACATATTATCAATATCGTACTATTTTACAATGAATGCTGGACTCAACTGACAAATGTATGTACGGTGACAACTAACAACAATCAATGTTTACATTTAGTGACCAAGAAACTGTGTTTTCATTGATTCGTGGAACTCATTCTTTCGTGTTCAAATATTTTTGTGGCTTCAGCAATCTCTATATTTAAAAGAAATAATTCAAATCTATTATTTACATATTTCGATTTGGTTGAAACTTTATCTATATAATCTACAGAGTCATACCTCTTTACAGTGTTAATCCTTTGCACTCGAGACCTTTTATTCTGGTATCTGCCAACAACTCTAGATGTTTCTTAGCATTCTATTGCCATGAATTCTAAGTTATCTAAATTTCCAAAGAAATTAAACCTAAAGAAACATTATTCCTGCTAGATTTGCTGCATGAAACCTAACGGTGACTGAGAGTCACCTCTCGAGTGCAAAGGGTTAATAATATTTCAGTAAATGTTATATAATACTTTGCACTCGAGGCCTTTTGTTCTACTATCTGCCGGCAACTCAAGATGATTCTTAGCATTCTATTGCCACAAATTCTAAGCTATCTAAATTTCCAAAGAAATTAAACCTAAAGAAACATTATTCCTGCTAGATTTGCTGCATAAAACCTAACAGTGACTGAGAGTCACCTCTCAAGTGCCCTGATAATTACCCGATTGAACATCTATGGACAATAATGTCAAAAGAATTACAAAAATTTAATATAGCATCCACAGTAACTTCAAAGGAAAAAATACTTGAAGTTTGGAATTCTATTTCGCCAAATATTACAAAAAAGTTAGTAAACAGTATGCATACTCGCTTTCAGGATGTTATTCGTGCCAAAGGTGGACCTACTAAATATTAAAGATTTAAAAATGACCTGTTCAAATACTTTTGTGGCTTGAACAATCTCTATATTTACAAGAAATAATTCAAATCTATTGTTTACATATTTCGATTTGGTTGAAACTTTATTTATATAATCTGCAGAGTCATACCTCCTTACAGTGTTAGTGATATTTCAGTAAATGTTACATAATATACCTATCACAATTAATAAAGTATTTCGTGTAGTAAGCGTTCGAATACTTTCGGTGAGTCACTGCAGCTGCCGACGAGCGGCGACCAGCAGCGACACTGCGACAGTGACTTGCGCGAAACGCGCGGGCATGATAGCGTTAAAGAGTAGAAGTTCCGTTTTATCGGGAGCTAAATTCTACCTTAGTTATACGCAAATCCACTTGGCGTGCAGACTGCGCTCCATCTGATGCATGCCGTGAAAAACGTCAACCACAACAGTGGTTCCAACGTCCGTGAGGTACGACAGTCGAATCTCGACCTATACGTGGTGGCTCGCGACAGTGATCAAACAATCAGTTCTATCGCGACGACATTTTCCCATCTCTGCTCGCACGTTTTCCAGAACCTGTTCCATCGGGTCGTTCGCGTTTCGTTTTTACTGTTCTTTCTGCTATCGGCCAGAGATTTTGGAGAAACTCGAGTGAAAGGGAACTGGGGGGGGGGGGGGGCATAGTTGTGCAGGGCAAGCGGTGTATTTACGTCCTCGACTCTGTTTCATCCATCACAGTCGATATAAAGGGAGTGTACGACTGTTACGCAAAATAGAAGCAAGTAATGTAGGTATTCGCAGAAATAGCTACCTGATCTCTCGCGATCTGTGCTGCTTTCTCTCGCGAGTTTTGTTTCGATGCCGAGGAATACTAAAGATCGATTCGAATTCCCCGTCGATTGGGGCTGCGGGTTTGAATCGACCAATCAGCATACGTTCGTTGCCTTTGGTTTGTTTGACGCGATCGAAAAGTTTGCGCGGGAAGTATGCGCTGATCGATCACCCTGCGAATCATTTATCCGTCGATTTTAATCCTGCGCGAACGCGTTGTTTCTAGTTGGAATCGTCGCGACCATTTTTTCCCGGTTTTCTTCGAGTTTCTTCTTTGTTTTAAGTGCGTTTTTTTTTCGTGTTACAGTTAGACGAGATGGAAAACGCGGAGGATGTTATGGCTACGGTTGAATTGCACATTTACGACCTTTCGAAGGGCATGGCTGCTACTATGTCCAGACTTGTTATAGGTAAGTTGATACAGTATTAGTAGACCGAGGATTTTTATGCATTTTGTGGTAAATGGAAGAGTGGGGGATATACAAAATATGCGTAAATGCATGTTTCTTCAAATTTATAATAACTTAAAATTATTATACAAATTTATTAAATTCAATTATTTCTATTTTTAACTAATCAGTAGAATGTTATTTAAATTGCGTATACACGTACATAATTGTAAAAAAAGCCTCGAACAAAAATTATACCGAGCTTGGAACTTCGTCGTTGTAAAAATCGATTCTCTTATTATTAGACTGTCCCCCAAAAAATGCAAGATGTCCTAGAAATGTTGTAAGAGGTTGGAAAGAGGTGGTTCGAGAGGTGATTTGAAACAACTTTTTCCTTTGGGAAAATGTTGTACGAGGCTTCGTTGAGGAGATTTTAACGGAAAACACTGACCAATCAGAGCGCGAGTATGCCGATGGAGCGACCGGAGTAGGCCTGGCTACGCGCTAGGCGGTCGCGCTCATATGCTACCGCTGGCGCTCCATCGGCATACTCGCGCTCTGATTGGTCAGTGTTTTCTGATAATATCTCCTTAACGAAGCCTCGGACAACATTTTCGTTAAGGAAAAAGTTGTTTTAAATCACCTCCCGAACCACCTCTTTCAAGGTGTTACAACATTTTTGGGACACCCTGTATAAGTCTCAACCTGATGGATACAACTGATCTGTATATGCGAAGTTCAGTAGTCCACAAATTTTGATTATTGTTGGAAAAACTTGTTTCAAATCGTCTCCCGAACCACTATTTTCAAGGACCTCCAACATTTTTGGGACACCCTGTATATAAAATATACATGTTGCACTGTTTAGAAGATATAATGCACTTTCAAGTTTTTTAATTCTTTTTTTCTGTATTTGTAAAAGTATGAATTTGCATAAATATCCGCCGGTCTAATTATTATGAACGTAGACTATGAGAGAGTAAAATCGATTATTTATGAAATTAATATTTCGTTTGTGGAAATGAATTCCATTTGAAAGTACGTATAATTTGCTGATACTCGTTATTATTCTCAATTATCATTTGCGGTAAAAGTTTTTAGTATCGAGAATAAACAGTTTTCTATTTTTCATTCGTTACTTGGTACTTTTGTGTTAGGAAGTCTGTGAGTTTTTTTCCTCGCTTGTTATTAACGGTAACGATTAATTAATTATGTATAATTACGGAATTACGGATAACTTTTGAAATGTAATTATTGATCGATAGAAGAATCGAGACATTTTATAATGATTTTAGAGATACTTTCTTCAATTAAATAGAAACATATTTGATCTGTTATTAAATTCAATGATATATGAAACGATTGTATTTAATTTATGTAGAAATATGAAGTGATTTATAGAATTGTATTTTATACGAGAAACTACGCAAAAGTTTGGAAACGTTTGTTCGATCATTTGAGTTGTGGTTTAGCGTTAAAAATGAGAGCTGTTCACTGTGGAAAAATATAACTGGCTTCTACTGAAATTCGTAGAACATTATTTAAAGCTATGTTGCTGCGTCTTCCTTTGCAACACGCGCACGAAGTAAACAGCAACAACTAGGTATTTTTAAGTCATGAATAAGAAAGGTACGCAAACCGTCTATCTCTATCTATTAGAACTACGTGCAACGTTCAAACGTTCCTAGTCATTACATATCGTGACGTCATCAATGAGTGAGTCATCCGATGGTCGTGAATCAAACCGAGTATCGTTTTAGTAATTATTAATGAATTATTCGTAAACTCGTTCAGGATTATGGTTAGCAAATTTTATATCGAACGAGTTAATTATTTTAATTTAGTAGGTGATTTCAATTTATCAATTATTAATGAATTATGGTGGTTAGCAAATTTTATATTAAACGAGTAAATTATTTAAATTAAAAGATGATTTCTGTGTGAAATTAGTTGAAAGAAATTACAAAATGTGCTTTAAGACATACCTAAAATCAAAGTCAAGCAAAATTTTAAATTTTTCTTTGTAAACAAAAAATCAGGAAGAATAATTCACATTTAGCCTAATGTGATTTCCTCCTTTAGTACCGAATTCAGCGAACCGTAATGTTTAGGAATTGAGGTAAATGTGAATTCACGGTGCAAAGGTTAAAAACAATTACATTGTTAACCTAACCTGTATTGTGTTGCTAACCTAGTCAATATTAGCATATTTAATAATAGTATATATATTTACATATATATACATATATACTATTGTTAGTACAGTATATATTAATAGTATATATGTAAACATATATATATCATATATATATGTTACTATATATGTAAACATATATACTATTATTAGTACAGTATATAATAATAGTATATATATATAAACATATATACTATTATTAGTACAGTATATAATAATAGTATATATATATAAACATATATACTATTATTAAATATGCTAATAGTGAGTAGTTATATATATGTATATCTGTGTAACTTTCCCAAGCTAGAGTGAAGTTTCTGGCTTGCCAAGCGCAATGACTCGGAGACCTCGCTATCGTTTAAGTTTAAGCAACCAACGCAACATCTCGTGCCGAATATATCTTTGCTTCTGTACATCATACATATTTCATTTTAGTTTATTCACTCAATTTTTTAATGTATATAGTATACTCTTGGTACGAGAAAGATGTATTATTATTATTCAGATATTTTCGTCCCTCTTGGCGCGCGACTATGTTTGGCCTTCATTATAGCTGCGTTCTAACATGTTGCGTACATACGAATAGACTGCGAATGTTTATACATATAATTTATATTTTCATATAGAAAAAGTATTTAACCTCTTCAGGGACGGTTTTTGGTAATTATAGAGAACAGGTACATCCTCTCCAATTTCGATGATTTTTAAATATATTGTAGAAATCAACATTGTGAATAACTTTTTCCTATACATATAACCGTCGCTCGGCCTTGGTTTCCGAGATATTTGCAAAATATCATTGCTACTACTACAATGAATTTTGCGTATAGTTACGCGTCTGTGGCAGCGTGTGTGTAAGCGTTCAGTCGTCGATCGTTTAGGCTCGGAATACACGTACGCGTCTGTGAGTTCCCGTAATTTCGATGCGTATAATTTTCGCGCAAAATCCTTTTACAAAAATTGAAAAGCATATATGAAAAGCATAAACACCCCTCAGGCTAACCGTGTACACACCTGAGTGGTGCGCTGCAGTACTCGTTGTTGGGGGCTTCGCCACCAAACCCCCGACCGGGAGCGAGCCCCCGGAACCCCATTTTTTTACTGTACGAATACAGATCATGCGCTACTTTATATGTATAAATGAACTCGGAACAGATTGAAACACGAGCCGACCAGCGAATGATAGCTAACGCATACAGACTCACAGTCGCGTATGTGTATTCCGAGCCTAAACAATCGACGACTGAACGCTTACACACACGCTGTCACAGACGCGTATTTATACGCAATATTCATTGTTGTAGCATCAATGGTATTTTGCAAATATCTCGGAAACTAAGGCCGAGCGACGGTTATATGTATAGGAAAAAGTTGTTCAAAATGTTGATTTCTACAACATATTTAAAAATCATCGAAATCGGTGAGGATGTACCTGTTCTCTATAATTACCAAATTCAAAATGGCGGATCCAATATGGCCGACATGTATATTTAAATAATAATTAGATATTCATGAAACTTGGTATTTATGACTTATTTAATCAGTAAACTTTAAATCTGATATCATAATTGCAAAATTCAAAATGGCGGATCCAATATGGCCGACATGTATATTTAAATAATAATTAGATATTCATGAAACTTGGTATTTATGACTTATTTGGGCCGCAAATTATGAATCTGATATTAGAATTGCAAAATTCAAAATGGCGAATCCAATATGGCCGACATGTATATTGAAAAATTATTGCATCTTCATGAATCTTGGTATATTATTGATATATTAATTATTAATTACCAAGATATTTGCTACTTTAAAAGTATCGACGTGCTACGCGTCATTGGAGGTTGCCAACTATATCAGGGTTGTATTAAGAACGTGAAAAATTTGTATCTTTGTTGCGCGAGCGTAAATCTTGGCAGTAGGTTTTCCTATAAGGACATTTAGCAATCTTGTGGATTATTTTGCTAATTATTTAGGTTTAGTGTCAGTCAAATTATTGGACCTGTAGATATTTGATAATTTCTTTTTGTGTGTTGTAAAAATTAGGATAAAATACATGCGATTGATATATAAAAATTTATATTGTATATATATAATTATAAATATTTTAAAATATAATTGTAAACTATATATATATATTTATTTATATTTAAAAAATCAATGGTATGCAATATTTGCAAATATTTAATAAATAAATAAATAAAAATTGTAAATAAATAAATAAATATATAAATATTTGTACTTATATTTAAAAAATTAATGGTATGCGATATTTGCAAATATTCTTATAAAGATAATCCAACAAAAGAATTTCATAATTTCCAATTCCATCTTAATTTGCCAGATATAATTAAAAAGAAAACCCTATTACTTCCACAACATTCGCTAAAAATAACGAAAAAATAAAAATATACATGTGGAATTGAGTAACCTCCTCCTTTTCGAAGTCGGTTAGAAAGAGCATTCATGAAGAGTAATGGAAATCGACCCATCGAAATGAAAAGCGGTACTAGAGTTAAAGAGGCGAACGCTCGAAGAAAAGTGAACGCGTTTGTACGGCGTAGAATGCGGAAGTAATAGGGGCAAGAATGGATCCGATTCGAACGAAATTCCACAGAAATAGTGTAAGATACAATTCACATGTGCGCACTCATCTCCCCGCGAGGCTTTTACGTCATGTTCAACCAAGGTTCGTTCGCCACGCAGTCGTCGAGCTCGCGAATCTATTTTCGAAAGCGCTACTCGCAATTGTTCACGAGCTTCATGTTTCACGCCGCGTACGATTCTCCTTGCAAAGTAAATAAATAAGTCGCAGGAGTCGTAATAAGCAGGAGAAGACCGTTGACAAAAATCCACGCGTTTTTTTTTGGTCATCGTATTCGAGGATAATCTACGTATAAAGAATAGGTAAAAGTAATGTAATAGCTAAAAAATATGTCGCACTGCTAAAACTACTATACAGAGTGTCCCAAAAATGTTGTAACACCTTGAAAGGGGTGGTTCAGGAGGTGATTTGAAACAACTTTTTCCTTAGCGAAAATGTTGTCCGAGGCTTCGTTAAGGAGATATTAAGAGAAAACATCGACCAATCAGAGCGCGAGTATGCCGGTGGAGCGCCCGCGGTAGCGTATGAGCGCAGCCGCCTAGCACGTAGCCACGTCTACTGCTGGCGCTCCACCGACATACTCGCGCTCTGATTGGCTGGGCTTTATCTGTTAATATCTCCTTAACGAATGCTTGGATAACATTTTCGCATAGGAAAAAGTTGTTTCAAATCACCTCCTGAACCACCCCTTTCAAGGTGTTACAACATTTTTGGGACACCCTGTATAATTTATATTTTCATACAGAAAAAGAATTTATCTCCTTCAGAGACGGTTTTTGTTTGCACTTTTCTTATATCTCTAACTGTACATCGGATATAACATTAACACTTATGTAAAAATTGCAAAATTTAAAATGGCGGATCCAATATGGCCGACATATACATTAAAAAGTTATTAGATATTCATGAAACTTGGTATTTATGACTCATTTGACCAGCAAACTTTGAATCTGATATTAGAATTGCAAAATTCAAAATGGCGGATCCAATATGGCCCACATGTATATTAAAAAGTTGTTAGATATTCATGAAACGTGGTATGTATGATTTATTTGACCAGCAAACATTGAATCTGACATCAAAATTGCAAAATTCAAAATGACGGATCCAATATGGCCGGCATGTATATTAAAAAGTTATTACTTTTTCATGAATATCGTTTTTGGATGAATCGTGACATGATATTACGATATCGCTGTTGTACGTGGACCGATTATATTGACTTTGGTTTTATTAGAAAGCTTATATGCGATTTACACAAGAAGAATGCTTTTCAATTTAGAAAATATATAATTAGAGAATATATTTTGACGATCATTCTTTTCGTTACATTCGAAATAAAATATAACCTAATAATTCATTATTTAAAATAACTACCATTTCGAGTGAACAAGTATTATCTTTCTCGTAAAATAACGGTACGAAATAAATTATTTCAAATAGTTATCTTTCATTTTTCCATTTCAATTAAAATTCGCCCAAGACTGATACCGACTACCCAATCCTCCACAGAGACTTTTCGTGGCCCTGGACGACTCGCGCGTCAACTCAATATTTGTGAAACGTTGCGCAAGCATTGAAAGTGGTGAATCGTTGAGTTGGATGGCCGTAGTAGCTATTTCTCGCGATTATTTCGTCACCGACGGGTCGGCTCCCCCCAGAAACGCGTTGCAATAAGAAAATCGCGGATATGCTTGGCTATTCCCGCGATGAGAAACTAGGTCGGAGGAGACTCTAAACGTCGACTACAAATTTCGAGGCGCGTCCGGGGCCAACTAGGCATAAAATTCTACGTGTAGAAATTATATCTCTGCCTCTATATTCAATTATTTATAACTTATAAATTATAATTATAGTTTAAACAGATCGCTCGTAATTTGGTACATTAAACCTTTTAAATCCTCAACAAATAAGTCTCAACCTGATCGCAATGCATCTCTGTACAAATTTTAGTTGCCATCGAATTTTGTTTACTATTATTCTTCTGAAATTACTGTAAAATTAGATATAAGTATTACTGATTTCCATTGTTATGGATTTATACAGGGTGTTCCAAAAATGTTGGAGGTCCTTGAAAGAGGTGATTCGGGGAGGTGATTTGAAACAACTTTTTTCTCAGCGAAAATGTTGTCCGAGGCTTCGTTAAGGAGATATTAACCGAAAACCTCGACCAATCAGAGCGCGCGTATACCGTTGGAGCGGCCGCAGTAGGCGTGGCTACGCGCTAGGCGACCGCCCCCATACGCTGCCGCGAGCGCTCCATCGGTATACTCGCGCTCTGATTGGTCAAAGTTTTCTCTTAATATCTCCTTAACGAAGCCTCGAACAGCATTTTCGCTAAGGAAAAAGTTGTTTCAAAACACCTCTACCCTGTATATACAGGGTGTCCAAAAAATGTTGTAACACCTTGAAAGAGGTAGTTCGGGAGGTGATTTGAAACAACTTTTTTCTTTGGGAAAATGTTGTCCGAGGCTTCGTTGAGGAGATATTAACGAAAAACCTCGACCAATCAGAGCGCGAGGATGCCGGTAGAGCGGCCGCGGTAACGTATGAGCGCGGTCGCCTAGCGCGTAGCCACGCATACCGCGGCCACTCCAACGGCATCCTCGCGCTCTGATTGGTCAGTGTTTTCCGTTAATATCTCCTTAACAAAGCCTCAGACAACATTTTCGCTAAGGAAAAAGTTGCTTCAAATCACCTCCCGGACCACCCCGTTCAATGACTTCCAACATTTTTAGGACATCTTGTATAATACATACAGGGTGTCCTATTTTAACTTGTACACCATGATAACTCGAAAATATTGTGTTTTAGCAAAAAATGTTTTAACACAATTTTGACAAACCTTCTATGTCACTAATATACAGGGTGTCTCAAAAATATTGGAGTTCCTTGAAAGGGATGGTTCGGGGGGTGATTGAAACAACGTTTTTCTTACCGAAAATATTGTTTCAAATCACCCCTCGAACCATCCCTTTCAAGGACCTCCAACACTCTCAAGTCTCAACCTGATGGTCATTACAATTAATCTACATATACAGGGTGTCCCAAAAAAGTTGGAGGTCCTCGAAAAGGGTGGTTCAGGGGGTGATTTGAAACAACTTTTTCCTTAGCGAAATTGTTGTCCGAGGCTTCGTTGAGGAGATATTAACGGAAAACACTGACCAATCAGAGCGCCCGTTGGAATGGCCGCGATAGCGATGGCTACGCGCTAGGTATCTGCTCTCGTACGCGAACAAGTGACTCGACGTGCATCGAAGGGTATTGACGCGGCCGCTCAGCGCGTAGCCTTCGCTACCGCGGCCGCTCCAACGGTATCCGCGCGCTCTGACTGGTCGGGTTTTTTTATTAATATCTACTTAACGAAGCCCCATCCGACATTTTTGCAAAGGAAAAAGTTGTTTCAAATCACCTCCCGAACCACCCCTTTCAAGGACCTCCAACATTTTTGAGACACTCTGTATATATTCGAACTTTAGTAACCCACAAATTTTGTTTATTATTATTCTTCGAGTTGCAATGAAATTTAATGGGACCAAAGAAAACTAAGGAAACTAAGAAAATATAAGAGAATTAGATGTTAGTAATTTTTCCTAATGATATAAGAATGTAAATGATAGTATAGCGACGTAGCTCGTGTACAATAAATGAAATTCTTTGTTTAAATGCTACAGTTGATATTATTTTTTGCGTAGGTCGACACATAGAGGGGATATGGCACACAGCGATCGTCGCCTACGGGAGAGAATATTACTTTGGTCCAAGCGGGATCCAAACTGCCAGGCCTGTAAGTATAGTTCTTCTCGTGAAATTGAACAAGCGATCCAACGAATACTTTTTTAGAAAATATTATTACATTTGAACCGCAGCGAAGAACTAAAACGATATTAATATAACTATAATACGCAAGCACGATCGGAATTTTTGGAGGAAAATAAACTTTTTGTTTATTGCTTGGGCTACGTTCAATAAACTGTTGTTGCCAGAATTTTATTTCAGTACAAACGATGCTCTTTTGTCGTGACGTACGTACGTCATTGTTTTTCTGAAAATTTATGAAACGTAATGGTAACTTGCGCGAGTATAAACATTTAAATGAATGGCCAGAACCTTTCATTAGTATTATCACAAAAATCAAATTAAATTCACAATTAAATTGCCCATGTACTTTCCAACTACTTTAAAAATTAAATTGTTGATTAAGTTAACTATGCACTACCCAAGTACTTCAAAAATTCTATTAACCGTGTGATGCACATAATACATACACATTAATTAAAAGTTTCAAACAAGGAATAATCTATTACTGAATTTTATCTTCCTTTGCAATATTAAAAAGAAAAAAATTGCTTTTGGTTTACTTTTCCAAGTTATTTTGGCATGATAATTTACGTTTGTCGTGACGTTGGAAATAATTTCATGCTTCTTTGCCAATCAGCGTGTTTATGCTCATCATTATTTTTAAAACGTTCATTGAAACTGCAGAACGCCAAAAAGGTAATTTCAATGATTCCTAGAGCTGCGGTGAGCATGTTTCGGGGCGAAGTGCCAGATAATCGTGACCCGAGTCTCATTGTTATTTTGAGAGAATTCTCCAGAATGTCTTCCGAATTAATTCTTCAACCTGATATCCTCGTAAATGGATTTAATAACTTTCTGAACTTTTTAGAGTTCAAAAAAAGTTGAATACGACCATATTAGCTGGATGTATACAAACGTACTCACACATTTAATATTACAAATTTGATCTTAAACATTTACGTTTGTACATCAGTCACTAACTTTAATAATATGTGAATTTTTCCCTATTTTTAATTATATTTTATTCGAATAATAATCGTCCTATTACAATAATAATGTTCTCCATTCTTTAATTAGTAATATATCTTTGCTATAAGTAAAGCATAATGATACACATATAAAAGGATGATTATTTAACCTAACGAAATGATGAATAAATATTTTTACTTAACTTAACCAGGAATATCGACGCATATTTATACGTTTTAAGAATTAAGAAATGTACAATATTAAAATGAGACAGTATATTTGTATGTCGAAATCGATTTAGAGATAAATATTGCTTTGGTTTGTGCGTATTCAATTAAATAAAAAAGAAAAAGGTATTTAAAATTCGTCCCTCAAGAGGATAAACTACATTTATAAACTATCGAGTATAAATCACGAAATTACTTTCCACGCCTAATGTTATTAATGAACGAGCTATGTTCGTTGTCACGAATATCTTTGTAATTAAGGCATTTAAATGAACAAAATTTATAATTATAAGCTTGGTTTTAATGCCAAGTCTCCAATTTATCGCGAATCTTTCTGTTTGTATACTTTTGACTAGTAAATATTATTTACATACATTTTTAGATACTTTATCTACTAGTTTATAAATTTATAGATTATTCTTGCTATCTTTTTACTACTATTTCTCTATCAGAATCAACGTGACAGCATGTTGTTCATTTAACTAGATGTCAATTTGTCCCACATAGAAACTGTTATAACTTTTGAACGACTCAGTAAAACAACTCCAAATGTTTTGGAGAATCTTGGAAAAGTAGTTGGAGAATCTTGTTAAAGTAGTCTAGAATTTTTTAACTCCAAACGTTTTAGAGGATCTTGGAAAACTTGTTAAAATAGTCTAGAATTTTTTAAATAAATACTGACTATTTCAATATATTTCTCAAACATCCCTAAACCAAAACTTGTCAACTTGTTCTCGTTACAATGGTTGGGACGAAAATAAGATTCTGGCAATCGCGATTTATCGATGGGAAAAAAAGTTACACCCGGTGAAATGTTAGGCTACTCGGGGTGCATCTCTGCCATCCAAATGGTGACCGATTGGACGCGCTATATAGCCAGCTAGTGGCGAGTCATTCTGGCCATACGATACGCTAGACACGAGTGGGTACTAAATTTGGTCCGGTTGACTCCAAAAATAATCCTTGCCTTACTTCAATCTCTTTCTCACATCTCCCTTTCTCCTCGCTCTCTCCATCCGATGATCCCTCGTCCAGATTCTACAAAGCCTAAACTTGCTGGTGAGTTTCCGCTTCCAACGTCGATTCTTCCATAAACCTGTCACTAATTCGACTCCTAAGGTCTTCTCTGCTAAAATTGAAAATTCCCAACAGATACAAAAATTTGTCGAAAAATCTATTTCTTGATGAATTAAGATCCTAATTGTTATTAGGCGTTGATGATAATTCTGTGCCTTTGTATTCGACCATTAATAACTACATAGACTGCGGATGTTTATATGTATTTATGGCAAGTGAAGATGTGGGAAAATGTATGAACGAAGGCAAAAATATATAAAGTCCCAACAATCACATTACACTGTTTAAAAGATGGAATCTGGTTTTCTTTAAATTTCAATTCATCATATGTATTTATAAAAATATACATTTGCATAAACGTTGGCAGTCTGTTTGTAACTCTGGTTTAAACAAATATACTTACTCGCCAGTTTGGTATATTATAGGATCAACCTTCTAAGTTCTCAATCTAAACTCTATTGTGAAGTATCTACACATAGTATCTGTACAAACCTCTACACATTTGGATTTATATGTAAATTAACGTTTAGTTTCTTATAGTCTTACCTATTCAATTCTAAATTTTTTATGACTATCTTAGATTGTAATTAATGGCCATTATAGACATTATCTATGTTTCAACCTGGTGGAGATTACATGCAGAGTAACATTTTCCTTATTATTATTGTTCTACAATTATTGTAACTACTTGCTACACTTGTGATCTATTAGAATAATAATAATAATCAGCAAACATTAATGGCTGGTCATCGGGTTAGGGTTTAGATTATTATACAATATATGTATGTATAAATTGGTAATTTAGAAGACTGGTGATTTAACATAAAATAACAAAATGGCGATTAAATACTTCTACTTAAACTAGGGATATGAATGATTGAATATAAAGGTACATCATTAATTCCTACACCTAATAATTAAACACTCAATAAAGACTAAATATAAAATGTGAAGCATACTTGATATAAATAATTCTATTGGGAAAAGAGCCTTTATTTACTGTCATTGTGTAATAAAGGTTGTTCTAAAATACATGTCTGTTATTCCTTTAAATTTATTTGCAATGTATTTAGAGCGCCTGAGACACGAGCCATTCAAACAGAAACTCCTTTCTCTCAATGTTCAAGTTCGACGAAGTTGAGGTGTATGAACCTATATATTGGATCATGTTCAAAATACGTTCATCCTAATTGCGTATCGATTCACCATCATTGAAGGTGGCTTCTTCGCGTTGCCCGGCATGGCTTCCGTTAATGTTAAACCTTTCCTGACTGTCATTAACGCTAAAACTATCAAATGTTTATTTTAACCAGGTGCGTTAGATTTATTTGTAAAATTATTCAATTTTTGACTATTTCTCTGCTGCAATTTATGGTGAGAATATGTATGTGTATCATTACGCTTCACTTATAGCAAAAATATATTACTAATTAAAGAATGAGGAACATTATTATTGTAATAGCACGATTATTATTCGAATAAAATATGATTAAAAATAGGGAAAAATTCACATATTACGAAATTTAGTGAATGATGTGCAAACGTAAATGTTTAAGATCTAGCTAATATGGTCGTATTTAACTACTTTCAAATTCTAACAAATTCAGAAAGATATTAAATCCATTTACCCGGATCTCAGGTTGAAGAATTAATTCAGAAGACATTCTTGGAGAATTCTCTTAAAATAACAATGAGACTCGAGCTGCGATTATCGAATTTTAAATAGTGTTTAGTTTTTTATTTAGTTGATACGAACTAACCAAAGCAATATTTATCTCTAAATGGATTTTGCATACAAATATATTGTGTCATTTTAATATTGTCTATTTCTTAATTCTTAAAACGTCGTTATATACGTCGATATTCCTCAACAGGTTAATTAAAAATATGTACAAAATATTAATAACTATAGTAAACCTAGTATTAGCTCACGTTAATATTGTATATTTCTTATTTCTCATGTCTCGCGTCTCATGTTAATATTCTATATATTTCTTAATTCTTAAAGCGTATATGTATACGTCGATATTCCTCAACAGGTTAATTAAAAATACGTACAAAATATTAATAACTATAGTAAACCTAATATTAACAAACTTAATTCTACAGTTAAAGTTACACTCTTATTATCACGCGTCGTACCACATCATTCCAATTTCTAAACTCTCAACCGTTAAATTCTTAACTCGTATACAATATCGCCTAAGTTTAACCCTTTGCGCTCGAGGCATAGTTCTATAGAATCGTTTTACTGAGTCCGTTTTATAATAAATTTCTGTAAAGCTAAAAAACTCTACTTAGAAAAGAAACATCTACGAACATTCGTGACTCAATGAATTATTGTTACAATTTATAATTAGCTGTATTCTGATGTAAGTAAAATAAAAATTGTACGTTCAAAACGTCACTTTTGAATTACATATGTCGCCCTAGAGACGCCACTCGAGCGCAAAGGGTTAAAATACCTAAAATAAAAATGTATAGGATGACGAACAGTCCGAACAACACAGAGGTATAATGAAACTTCTACCGCGCTCGACGCACCGTGCGTCGGTGGACGATCAGCTGGAAAGTAGTCAAACGCAACGCGATGGAAAAAGCAAACCCAAAGCTGCATCGATGAAGAGCGTGCGCGCTACCATGCGAACTCGAATATCGTTTATCTTGAGTTACGCTAGCCGGGCAGCGTGGTGTCGAATCTCGAGGCGCGCCGCGACGTCAGTTCGTATGCGAGTGGTTCGTTGACGAAACGCAAAACCAACCGAGAAAACCGCTCCGTCGCGCGAACCCGACACGAGTTCTTCGCCTCTCGACGCAGGTGCAACATTTATAATAAAATAACGTGCGCAGATTCGCGGAAAACAACAAAGTGACGTTCTGTTTTCCCACGAAGTGACGGAAATTCGATCTCCCCCTTCCTTCCGCCTCTCTGATACCTAAACAAACTTTTCCTAAAACTTTCGAACCATTTCCGGCGTTCGTTCCACAGGAACCTCTTCTCCTCTTCCCTGCCCGTTCGTATTTCCCTCCATGCTACAAAAACCAATCAGAGTTTCGGCTAATCGTTTAAATTTAGCGTTCGCGAGCCACGCTTCTGTCTCCTCTTCATTTTATTCCTTTTCCTCCTTTTTCTTTACTTTTTCCTTTCTCTCTTTTGTTTCAATTCTTTTTTAATTCATTCCCTTCCACGCATCGAGTAGCGCTACTCCGACACACGGTGCACAGTTATTTCGAGCGTTTCTTATAGGGAAGCGCAAGTTTGTCGTAGATTCTAAAATTACATAGCTCTCGGAGCCTGCCATCGCGAGGGGGTGTACCGACGCGTTGATCGTACGCTGCCGTAAAATTGACATTGACGACGGCTTCCGAATGCACGGCTTTCATACGGAGGAATCCGTTTCCCGTGTTTCAGGGCGGCACGGTGCTAGGCGAGCCGAACAAGGTGGAAAGAATCGGCGACACCTACTTGCCGTACTCCATCTTCTTAGAATACATCAACGGCTTGGGCACGTCCAAGTTCGCGTGAGTTATCAGTGTAAAAATATTTTCATGACGACGTGTATTAGCCAAAACACACCCCGACGGTTTTTCCGACAAAAATCAGTCGTTCCGTTGCAGCCCGGGGACGTACAACCTCTTCAAGCACAACTGCAACTGCTTCACGGACGAAGTTAGCAATTTCTTGGCTGGCAAGGGTATACCGAAGTACATTCTCGATTTGCCGGAAGAGATATTCCAAACGTAAGATTCTCGTGTGTTCTAACTCCTATCGGGTGACGAATTAAGGAGCCATTCTAGTCTTTGGAGCGGCAATTTTTAATTCCTTTTTTGAAGATTTCCTTTCTTCTTTTAATTTATAAAGAATTTTATGAAGGCTTTGCCTACTTACACGTACACCTACTTATTCACGTTTTAAGAACGTACACGATTGTTTCCAGGTAAAAATAATCAAAATTGAACTTGGTACGAGTGATCTTATACAGGCCCTCCTGAAAAAGTATGTTCAGAGAGATTTTAGTTAATATTGTCAAGTACATTTTCGTTAATATTAGCATCGCTGTTGGTCGAACCAGAATAATTATGAAATATTGAAAATTCACCTTTTTCCATTTTTCTTGTTTTTTGTATATTACAAAATATTGGGCTATCTGGAAAATCCATGCCGATTTTTAGTAGGCGGTACAGGTCTAAATATGTCGGAATGGCTGAAAATAAATAAAATGTGTACATTCCTTAACAGGTGGAAAGGTTGTGGAACAAAATGGTACAACATATATAATTCAATAAATATACATCAAAATTCAAATATGCCTTTGAAGTTTTCTTAAAAATAGGCATGAACTTTCTGGACAACCCAATATATATATTTAACCAGGCACCAGCTGAACCAGAATAATTATGAAATATTGAAAATTCATTCTTTTCCACTTTTCTTGTCCTTTGTATACCTATTAAAAAAAAAATATATATATAGAATAATCAGATTTGAAAACCGTGCTGAAGACTCACTCCAAATTTGAAGTCATTCAATCAACTAGAACTCGTAGTATCGTGGCAACCATTTCAAAAAATATGTTTATCTTACCATGGTTATCTAAAATATAAAAATCATGGTTAAATATGGAGGGAAATCGTGTCTTTTAAAGTCTTTCGTACTAAATACGTAGTCAGTGTAAAAAGTATTCGTACAGCAACTAATTTAAAATAAAATTAATAAGAAAAGAAATGAGAGCGTTAACATTAAAAATAATAAACTTTAATTTACGCAAATTCTACTCTAAAAATATGTAAGAATGTTGGTTACTTATTTCTTCCTCTAAAATTTATTAATAAAATAATTGTATGAAGTTTTATTGTGAATTGGTTCCTGTACGAATACTTATTACACTGTATACTTAAGATTATAATCAAAACCAAACCTTTGCTTACTTGCTTGTTGAAAATGAGTATCACTCATATTACCAACGAAGAGATTGTAGCTAAAATTGCAAAGAAATTAAAAATGCAAAAAAAGAAATAAATATGGATATTTTGAAAGTTCTAAACTAGAATACCTCCTCAATTCTTTGGGGAATCCCTCAGGGCTTCAGTTGGTGTAACTGCGAATGGTTATGCATCTACAGCAAATAAAAATTATATTAGAGAATCTATAAGAATGTAAAAAAATATTGAAAGTAAAGTTCGTCTTATAATATTTTCAGAGTAAAATAAATTTCTGTTTAAAGGTGCGCAGGAGCTAGAGTCAAACTCAGAGTTGACTTCAGCGACAGTGGCGGAAAAAGTAGGAAACTCAGGGACAATGACAGAGAGGGCGATACAACAATTGCAGGAGAAACGAGGACCAGGGAGATTAGGCTAGCATTATTTTTTTTCGAAGATATTGAAGCAAAGAAGCAAAATTTTCTAATAATTCTGGTTTTAATATATTCGTTACACTTTGACGGGTGCGACTCCAAGGCCTGATTTTGCAATTTCGGCTTTAAAACTTTATAAACAATAAAATGAAGATAGCAAACGTATTTTTATTGTTTATAAAGTTTTAAAGCCGAAATTGCAAAATCAGGCCTTGGAGTCGCACCCGCCAAAGTGTAACGAATATATTAAAACCAGAATTATTAGAAAATTTTGCTTCTTTGCTTCAATATCCTCGAAAAAAAATAATGCTAGCCTAATCTCCCTGGTCCTCGTCTCTCCTGCAATTGTTGTATCGCCCTCTCTGTCATTGTCCCTGAGTTTCTTACTTTTTCCGCCACTGTCGCTGAAGTCAACTCTGAGTTTGGCTCTGGCTCCTGCGCACCCTTAATAGTGATAAAGATTCGTGTAGGTGCATGAATGCAAAAATATATAAAATATCAACATATTATATGTACATATTACACCATGTATAAGATATCACATTATTTTAGTTTAATATAATGAATATTTAATATAGATAATTAATAAATAAGTATTTGTTTTATATATTGAATAACTACGCTACACATTTTCATACTTTTTTACACTTAACCTCATTCACGCTTTCAGGCATGTCAACCAGTGATGGACAAAACCCTAGGTTTCGAATAAATCTGAAGTTTGCCGATATGTTTGTCTCATGTCCTCTTTTGAACATTTTCCAGAGAAAGAAACGAGACAAACACATCGGCAAACTTCAAATTTATTCGAAGCCTAGGGTTTTCCCCATCTCTGGCATTGCCAACCTTACTTATTCTCCACGCGTACCAACGTTCAAACCTTTCCATTCTCACTCACTGTCATTCAAAACCAACTCTCGCAGATAGGACTGCTTTCATTCTGCTTGCATACTTTCATTTAAATCTCAATTGTTTATATAAATCTGTAAAATATGAATTTCCATAACCATTCGCATTCTAATAATTACTTTCTAAAAGATAATTGAATTTCATTTCACGAGGTCAATATTCAAAGTAGCTTGTACGATTTCCGCGAAAGAATTTTATCTTTATACAAAATAAAATCTTTATAAACGTACCTCCAAAAATCGAACTTTATTAATAATAAATTATTACTATTAAACAGAAATTTATTTTACTCTGAAAATATTATAAGACGAACTTTACTTTCAATACTTTTTTTTTTATATTATTGCATACTGCGTGAAGTTTGCAATTTCTTGCACATTCAAATTTCCTATAAATGCACAAACATCTGCAGCCTAATAATGACTAGATTGCGAATGTTTATGCATTTATGGTATAAAGTAGTATAATAAATACTTGCTAAACATAACCAAAAGGTTTGTGCAAGTGCACTTATGGAAAATGAAATAATAATATCAATATAATAATTATTGCATACTGCGTGAAGTTTGCATTTTCTTGCACATTCAAATTTCCTATAAATGCATAAAGTAGTATAATAAACACTTGCTAAACATAACCAAAAGGTTTGTGCAAGTGCACTTATGGAAAATGAAATAATAATATCATTATAATAATTGTAGAATATATTCAACATACATTTTGTATGTTTTCTGTATTACTAATTATGACGAGTAACATATTATTCTACTTCATAATTATTCTAAATAATTGTTTGAAACAACCCTGGACACTTTTGAAATTATACTACTTGAAATATTATTTCAAACCAGACACGTTATTTTATTTTCATAATTGTATTCATAGACTTGAATCACAACCTCCACTAATATGTTGTTTTAATTTGTAATTATTTGAAATAATTTGTAAAATTGCTTCTAAAAGTAAAACATCTCTTAAATAATAATATTAATAATCTTACTTTGAGGATTTCATTCAATAAATTTGTAATAAAAGAATAACCAAAGAACTCGTTACATGAACTACCTATTACTTAATTATTTTCAAATGACTGCATTGAAAATAACGATTTAAAATGAATTATCTGAATAATTATTTCTTATTATTATATATTATTATTATTCTTATTATTATATATCTTATATTTCTTATTATCTTTCTTATTTTCATGTCAATAAAAATAATTCATTGTATGAACCATTACTTTGGATAAATTGATATTGTTGTTATTATTTTGTATCAAAATACAAATATGAAAAGTTTGTAGTGGTAGCATGTGTGCACCTGAAGGCCATCACCAGCTGTAGCCCCTGAAGTTCCATGATTTAATTCAGCCTTGAACTCAATATTGGAAATTCGTTAATACTTGTGTATACTTGATCACCGCTTGCATTTCCATATAGACCAATCGGACAGGGTCTGAGAACCCTGATAGAGACTTTGAGCAGCAGCCCGAGTGGATCCAAACTATTTACAGTTGGTCAAGCATTCCTTGGTACAAGAAACCAGAGAGAAGTTTCGCCAGAGTACGAGCTTTTAAATGAGGCCATCGAGGAAGCTAGGTAAGAGTACGCTCTTCAGTTTGTAAATTTCTGAAAACCCTTACGCAATATGGTCTGACAATGTTTATTAATAGAAAACGAAAACTTTGGAAGGATTTTAGAGATTTCATCTTGATTTCACAGATTTGTATTATGAAATATGTTTATTTACGTGGTACATATTTGATGAATTTATAAATTAATATTTATAGACAATGGTAAATTTGTATAATTAAATAGATATAGATTTCTATAATAAATGCTGATTTATTCAATAAGAAAGTATTAATTTATATATATGTATATTTACCTATATATTATATAAATTTATTAATATTTAATAGAATAAAATCATGCATAGTACCTGTTACAGTATATTAATAAATGATTTATAGATCTCTACACTAAATGCTGCTTTATTCATTAATATTTTTAATTATTGGTACTATGTATGATTTTAAACTGGATACAACCATTCAAGATTTTTCAGAGCAACAAATTAAATTAATTTCCATTTATTTTAAAGGATTTTCCAAACAAGGCTTCACGATTTTGGTTTTCAATAACAGTATACCGGCTACAAGTGACTAAAGTAATGTCCCATTGAATAAATATCTCATTTGTTAGACCACATTACATTGGGCTTTTTCTTTTTTAAATACTTTCATTAAATTACTTTCATTCTATTTAGCATTATTAAATATACTTTTTCTGCAGATTGAACTCGATCGCGCTAGAAGAAAGGAGAAACGAGCTTAACGAGAAACTCGCGAAGAAGGACCGAAAGAAAAAAAAGAAGAAGAAGGAGAAGAAACAGAAAGGAAGTAGAGACAGCACCGCGAGCGACACTAACAGCACCGGGCCCAGCAATTGCGTAGATATGGCGGAAAGCGAAAGTATATTGAAATGTTTTTTCTAGGAAACATTCATAAACGTTACGTTATATCAATTAACATTATTCAATCAATCACAGTAATTCACATCACATTGCATTGCCCTGTTTTGATATAGAGAGATACTTCTAAAGACAAGAATTACATTAGGTGCAGAAAGTAATTATCGCCTTTCTATTGAACCATTTATGATTGTAGTTTAGACACAAATATTTATTTATTTGGTTACAATTGTGAAATGGTTACAATTTAGACTATAGCATCTCTTGATCCAGTCTTTACAAATTGGAAAAAAATTATAATGTTTTAACAATAATAATTTCTTGTTTAATCTAACTTCTTATTCCAATTCCTATTTGTTTGTACTTTTAATTCGCTATTTATTACATTTAGGACAGTCGTATTTCTTATTTAGTCTATGTTATCTAATTAGCTACGTATGTTAGGTAATTCATATTGCATATGTTGAACTACCAACTTATCCTTCGCAGAACTACATGTGTTCTTTTAGAATATGTGACTTAGGGAAGATTAAGAGTCATAAGTAACTTTAGAAAGACACCGAATTAATTTCTACACCTAATCATTTCTCTTAAAAAATATCTTTATACGTCTAAAAGAAACAAATGGTACGTACACATCTCTGAATGTGCTCTGTCCTGTTTGATAAGCAGCTGTACTGAGCGAGATGCAGGCCACTAATGGGGATAACACAGACATGCTACCATCCGATAGAGTCATGCAAATGGAAGAAGAGGAGAAGCTGGAACTGGAGGAGAGGAAGCGTCAACGTGATCCACCTATAGTGTTTAAGGACTTAATAGACGTAAAGTCGGAATACGAGGCATTATCCAACTTGTTGGAAGGAAAATTAAATAAAGAGGAAGGAGTGTGCATGCAGGAACTCGAACAGTATATTATAGAAAACGAGGGCTCTTGGGCGCTTGGGGATAATTTCTTAAATTTCGTAGGTAAGTAGACGAATAATTACAATCACATAATTACATAATCAAATAATCGCAATAATTACAGACGAATAATTCAAACGATACTTATTGTACGATATTCGATTGTTTAGGACGAATTCTATATGATAAATCTCTGTCAAGCGACACGAGAGTAAAATTGTTGAACGTACTTTCTGTTGCTGCGTTAAAAGACGATGTGATCCTTTTATTACACCAGGATAGGAGAGAACATATCATTATGAATTACGCTTTCGATATTGACCGTCATCCCCAGGAAGAACAACTCCCTCTTACGCAATTTGTGAGTAAAATAACATTCACAAGAAGTGTGTATTATCTGAATGAACGATTTTTGGATTAAACAGTAATTTTGGACAAAATTTTTTAACAAAATTTCATTTATCGGAGCAATCACTGTTTACATTAAGACATTTTTATCAATGCGTGACAATTTTAATTGACCCAAAAATGTTCTGATAGATTCTAACCACCACTACCTGTCGCCATTTGTTGCGTTATTCGACTTTGTAATTGTTTGTCGTGTATTACAGTTAGCAAATATGTTCGAAAACCTCAGCAGCTCGGAATGGCTATTGTACATATCAGAATGGCAACACCAGAACCAGAATATCAGTAATATAAGGGTGACGACCAAAGTAGCGGTACATTCGTTGCTTTCGAACTCGCTCGACATGCAGACTCGTGGTGCAGCTATTATTCACAACCTTGCCTGCAAGGAGGTAAAAACTGTGGTCTGTATCCTTCCTATCTGATTAACAAGCGAGCTTTTTCTTTCGCTTTCGTTTAAACTCACGCCTATAATCGCTGTCATACATGTCTCACTTTGATGGACAAAAGTTGCCATTATTGTCGCAAAACGTGCTAAATTTTTTTATCTTTAATAGCCAAAACTTTTGAACAAATGGAAGAACCTATTCTGGCCCTTAACGTAACTCTTTATTACAAAATAAAATATGACGCACTCTATAATAACATTAAAACTACTAAGCTGATCAATTTGGCACACGAACCTCAAACTTTTTTCTAAGGTCACTCAATCATTAACAATGGTTTCGCTTCAATTTGTAGGGATTATTATTGTAATAGAGAATTAATTTGATTAACAAATTAGATTGTCAATCTAATCGCTTCTCCTTTTAGTGTTAATATCTCCTATATCTCATATAAATTTTGTCGTTAACTGGAAGGCATCAATGGTTCATATATAGAAGTCGCTACACCAAATATCATGATTTTCTGATACACGACTTCTGAGATGTAATGCAAATTGGAAGTCAGTGTAGGCAATTTGTAGGGAAAAAGATATTTGTTTTGGAAAGACAAATGGTATGCTAACGATTCAATTTTCTCAGTATTATTTGTTTTGTATCTGAACGCTTAATTATTTGTGACAGAATATAATTTGGCATACAAGTAGAAAGAATGATTTCATCGTTTGTAATTATTCCAGCTACATGTAGTTTAATATTATGATAAGATAATATTAATTTTGATATATAAATCAATTAACTGATACGCAGTGTCAAAAACAGCTATAACAATAACTCGACTGCGGATTGTATGCATTTATGATATAAATTAATATAATAAATACATGCTAAACATAAGCAAAAGCTATGTTAACTGATGCAAAATGAAATAACAGTTTTATTATATTAATTGTAAAATATATTCAACGTGCATAAATGTATATTTTTTGTATGTTTTCCATATTACTGTACGTTATAAATGTATAAAGTTCACAGTTCAGTAATAACAAATAATGAAATTATATCGAGATCTTTTTCATAGTTTAAATTACATTCTATCAAAAATAAGCTGTAATATTTTACTAGTAACGTACCTTTATCACAACAAAGATGCTAGGCTACTCAAGATTAACGAAACAGTCTGTATCTTTGACATGTAAACCCGAAACGGAAGGTTTCTTATCCGCGATGTTGCTTAACAAATGCTTGTTGCCTTTTCTTAAGTACTATTAATTAAGCAACAAGGCCATGGGAGTCACGCTTTTACTGTCTACGCGAATAGAAGTGCTGCCTTTATTAATAAATCAGCTGTACTAGCAAAATTACATAGAAATTTAGAAGAGGTTCGGTGGACTTGTCTCGAGTCCTGCAACCGATACACCAACGAGCAACGAAGCCTTGTTGAGTACTTCGAAACTCATGGTCTCAACAAGGACAAGTCGGGAGGTACGTAGACCGTCTCGTTGCTCGTTCGTATACCTGTATGTTACATGTTGTACCAACGCTGCGTTGCAGTTCAAAACGATGGATATCTTTCGAGAGATCGGATACTGTTTTTTCAGAAAATGAGCAAAAGCAAAAATCTGCGGCGACTTTTACCAAAAGGCAGCATTTCTAAGGTACTGCGAGACATTTCGATTAGCATAAGATTTCACTTCTCATCAGTAAGTAATCAACGAAGGAGTTCATTTCAAAGAAACACAATTGATTCATCCGAGGGGCATTACGCAAGCGTAACTGATTTTATTCTTCACTTTTGCTCTTTTATTCTTATTCATAACTTTTATTATTAACCCTTTGCACTCGAGAGGTGACTCTCAGTCACCACTAGGTTTCCTTTAGATTTCATTTCTTTGGAACTCGAAGTGTCAATAAAATGATTGTCGTTGAGGCAAAGGTGACCTGATTTTCAAAGCTCAAATTAGAGATCTCATTTTCGAAGTCAATATAATCTTAGCATTCGTGACAATAGAATGCTAAGAAAGCATGTCGAGTTGCTGATAGATACCAGAAAAAAAGGCCTCGAGTGCAAAAGGCTAAAGACAGAATCACTTGTCGAGAACTGTTCTCGAACAAAGAACATTCTTAACACAAGAAGGAGTTATATTGTGAATTATTCAAGTACTTTAGTGGGCTACTGTATCTCTTAAACCTCAATATCTAATAATGTACCACCGTGAGAACAAAGTCGTTCTTAAATACTTGATTAATGCCACCTATTAGCGTTTATCATTTCACCAGGTGTTGCACAATATGTGCGATCGAATATCCATGATTCTCTTCTAATTATGTCGTATTTTTTGAAATGTATAGGTGTTCGACGACGTCGCCGTGGAACTGACAATGGCACTGTTACAATATTTCAATGGCGATCCAGCCGAGGAGCAACTGTTTGCATGCATGAAGTCCTTGGCGCGTTTCACGCAAATCAGCGGCCAGGACGTGCCACAACTCATCCAAATGATTGGCCCGGAACCGAACAAGTTCCGCGGGGTGTCCGAGAGAGTCGACGAGCAAATTGACCAAGTCAATAAGAAATTGCGTTAACGTGCGCACAATCAAACAATCGCATTGAGAAAATCCTGAATTCCAACCGCGGTGCGATCCCGGGACGCTGTTATTGTGTTATAACTGAATTTTTACATAGAGATTTTATTGAAATAAACTGCATATAATGTATTATTATTACAATTATTATTAATTATTGTTGTCATTTAATACTATTATTGCTATTAGTAACATCATCGTCATCGTCATTATTGTTATTATTATTATTATTATTATTATTATTATTATTATTATCATTGTCGTCATCAACGTTATCATCGTCATTACTATTATTATTATTATTATTATTATTATTATTAATGCAATTACATTACGACTATTAAAAATTCTGAGAGCAGTTCTTGTTTGAGATACCCACTTTCTTCGTGAAAGACGTTTACTCTCCTTTGTATCAGAGAAGCTAACTATGGTATTTAGTTGCTATAATTAATTTAACACTAGAATTACCAAGCCGGTCAATTTTACCTGTGTACTGCAAACTTATTTCTAAAGACACTCGATTATTAACATTCTTTTAATCGCGATATTTAAAGGCAATTATTGTAACATAAAATTCATTTGACAGACAAATTAGTTTACTCCTCTCTTCTCTAATTACAAAAATATTGTAGGTACGCTCTGATCTTGGTAGTTTTAGTATTAACCCTTTGACTCTCAGTCACATTTTAACGTGATGCAGTAATTCGAGAGGTGATTCTTGGTCACCACCAGGTTTGACGCAGTGAATCAACCAGCAGTAATCCTTGTGTAAGTTTAATTTCACTAGAACTCGAAGTGTCAATAAAATAATTGTTGAAGGGGTAAGGGTGATCTAATTTTTAAATCTCAAATTAGAAATCTCATCTTCGAAGTCAACCTAAGCTTAGCATTTCTGGCAATAGAATGCTAAGAAAGCATCTCGAGTTGCTAGTAGATACCAGTAAAAAAGGCCTCGAGTGCAAAGGGTCAACCCTTATTGAACTTATGTCATCTTCTATTTGACATTAATATTTTTACCCTATCGAATGTCCTAATTTGATGTGACAGTAACTTTTAGTGAAAAAATGATAGTTTTATTATAGCTTTTTAATAGCGGAGAAAAGAAGAAAGCACATTTTTAACACAAAAAGTGTTATGCTAGAAAAGAGGTACGTGCTTTTATATTAAGTAGTGTGACTTGCAATTGGTTTTCATGTACGCACCCAGTCAAGTTTAAAACGTTGGCGTACGATAAGAATTAAATTGTACTTAACAAAGACTCCACAACTCAGAAGAGAATTTCTACGTTAGAGTATATTAATACTAAATAATATGTTAGTTTCTACATATTGTTACTAGGTACAACAAAAGTCTGTCATCTCAAATTAAGCTTTACAAGTGAATTATTAACGACAAAGTTAATAGTTATTTATAGATAAATACTGAAATAAAAAAAATCTATAAATATGTTCACTGTAGATAAAGTGTGTAATAAGTATTGAGATTTGTGCAATATTCGAAGCCACGAATCCAATGAGAGTTAGACCAAGATCAAGTTAGTCACGACTACTTTTATGATTTTATCATCAACATTTTTATTTACATATTCATCACTTTTCATTCATTTCCATGAAAAGTAATAAAAGACGGTAAATTTAATTGGATTTCTTATTTGCAATGAGACAGTTTTACTTGGAAATCAGATAATTAGATCTTTCTTGATATCATTTAATAACGAACGGAATTATTATTATGTAGTTCTATCTAAATTCCAAGAACATCTACGCTACCGTTTTGTTCGTATTTGCCTTTGTACACCGCTGCAGCAAATGTGCAAAAAGTACAAGTTAAGAAACACGATATCGTTTAAAATAAATGAAACTACTTAAAATATAAATACATTGTTTGTAAAAACCTCTCGAGGGATTCTGACGCATATAAAATATACAATATTAAAATGAGACATAATTGTATATTAAAATCAAAAAATAAAATTTATTTAAAATTCATCCCTCGAGAGATTCAAATGTATAATTTAATTCTACTCTGGAGGTTCGACGAAGACCTTATTGAGATGATCCCAACGATAAACTTTACAACAAAATGCGTACTTTGTGGACTTTTTAAATATTTTGCATACCATGTCAAAGACGATTTACGGATAACATAAAACTTTCGAGGCGTCCAATGATTTATGAAGAACCGGTATCGTCGTACGCGTACGTTCGTTCCACGTGTAACTCTTGTTGATACTTTGATAAAGATCGTGAAACAAGACGGGAAGCCTTGGGTCATGACCAATCTCTCCAACGGAATCACGTATAAAGCTACTCTATTTTCAACTCCAGACGCGGCCAGGTCGACAATAAATGCCTGTGCAAATATGCTATAGATTAGCGAGAGAAATCTCAAGAATGGGGAAACAGTAACACACTCGTTTATGTTTTATGTATCGCGCCTACAACTCATTAAGATATTATTATTTACTGCCTGGTTACTTAACTTCCGATCTACGCGAAGCTTTTATGCGGTTCAGACCCTGGGAGTCCATTGTATTGGAGTTTATAGTTTTATTGTTGCTTCTCGTAAAGAAATTTATTGTGTCTGTATTTTTAAGATATTGTAACGCGTAAAAGTAACGCCTAGGTTTTAAATGAGCGAATGTGCGCGTGTTAAGTACCGAGGAGAGTTTGTGTAAATGCGGTGGAGACCCTGTCTAAGAGGCGCCAGCTCTGGCTTGACCCCATGAACACTTATATTATTTGTACACTGTTGGTTGTAATATTCTCTGATTGATTATGGGACTCGGAACAAGTCTACCGAACCTCTTCTAAATTTCTATGTAATTTTGCTAGTACAGCTGATTTATTGACTCCCATGGCCTTGTTGCTTAATTAATAGTACTTAAGAAAAGGCAACAAGCATTTGTTAAGCAACATCACGGATAAGAAACCTTCCGTTTCGGGTTTACATGTCAAAGATACAGACTGTTTCGTTAATCTTGAGTAGCCTAGCATCTTTGTTGTGATAAAGGTACGTTACTAGTAAAATATTACAGCTTATTTTTGATAGAATGTAATTTAAACTATGAAAAAGATCACGGTATAATTTCATTATTTGTTATTACTGAACTGTGAACTTTATACATTTATAATGTACAATAATATGGAAAACATACAAAAAATATAAATTTATGCACGTTGAATATATTTTAAAATTAATATAATAAAACTGTTATTTTATTTTGCATCAGTTAACATAGCTTTTGCTTATGTTTAGCATGTATTTATTATATCAATTTATATCGTAAATGCATACAATCCGCAGTCGAGTTATTGTTATAGCTGTTTTTGACACTGCGTATCAGTTAATTGATTTATATATCAAAATTAATATTATCTTATCATAATATTAAACTACATGTAGCTGGAATAATTACAAACGATGAAATCATTCTTTCTACTTGTATGCCAAATTATATTCTGTCACAAATAATTAAGCGTTCAGATACAAAACAAATAATACTGAAAAAATTGAATCGTTAGCATACCATTTGTCTTTCCAAAACAAATATCTTTTTCCCTACAAATTGCCTACACTGACTTCCAATTTGCATTACATCTCAGAAGTCGTGTATCAGAAAATCATGAAATTTGGTGTAGCGACTTCTATATATGAACTGTATTGTATATTCTATATATGATTAGTGGTAGTAATAGTCGGGTGCCTTTTAGACAGGAAATTTTCGCTCCTCTTAAATAGGATTCACCATACTATCTTGGTTACAATGAGCTGACCCAGCAGTCTGTTTGAAATATTTATGTACATCTTTTCTGATGAAGAATACTTGTATTTTCCTTTAAAAGAAGAAATGCAGTAACTCATGTCTCTAGAAACTTTGTATTTAATAATTGAATTAATCGAAATTAAATTTTATTTAATAGCTACAGATTTACAACGTTTCTTCTTTTATTTTGTAGCTACGTATTCGCGTTGTTTATGCAACAAAGGGTGGTCCACGCAACGTGTGCACCTTTATAACTTCCAAAATATGCGTTGCTGGAGAAAATATTATATGTATACAAAAGTTGCATGGCTTAAAAGGGTACACTACGTAGTGAGTTAATTTTTTGTACATGTGACGTTTAGGAGATTTAAACCTTTGCGGTCGTATGTCTGCTCTCAGCCATCACAACAAAGAACCGTACTAATCTTATGTTGTATTCCGCAGACTGAAAAGATTAAAGCTGTTAGACAATAGTAATAGATTCTAAGATATTAGTGTAATAATAGATTAATGGAAAGATTAATGAAAAGATCATTAGTAATTATATTAAGTTATACAAGAATATGTGAACCAGTGGGTGGAATATCTGCATGTTACATTTTTCAAAAACAAATATATTGAATATCGTTATTTTTTCTGTAACAGATTGTAATAAATACCAAATAATCGAAAATACTTGGTAGAATTCCAAGTAATATTTTACAAATTGTGTTTAAGTGTAATGAGGGATTATGGTTTCTTAAAATATTTCAAAAACAATACTCCAAAATGGCAATAAGAAAGTTGAAGAAAGTTACCGAAAGATACCACATGATGGAGAACTATAAAATATAATGTTTACATAAAAACGTTACATTAAAACACATTAATGTGTAAACATATATATCTAAAGTCTACAAAAGAATGAATAAATCTTGTTTATCCTTCATAAGCTTGCATATTATGTATCACTGCTCGTTCTTGGGAAATTAATTCCGACCAGAGCAATAGCCATGCCTAAATTTAATACGACCGTAAAGGATTAAAGGACAACTTTGTCGCTTTAAATAGAATACTGTATTTTGTATACAAAAATATGAATCAAATTCCAAATAAAAAAGTGTTGACCTTTGTTAGCCCTAAGCCTAATAGGCAGTAATTGTCCCGAGTAATTTCACGAGTGATTTCACTTTATTACTCGAACATTTTCTTCGCGTAATATCAAGTCGGAGGTTCAACCTTATCGGAGATTTTCCACAGGACAGCGATGTTTACATAACAATGTTTATCGACGCGACACCATCTATCACGATCCGCAGTCTTCTATCGTGTTCGTGATCCAGTATTGAAGTTACCTTCGATGTTGCGTGTAATTACCAGACAGATAAAAGAAAAATTGAAATTTTGTAACGGTGAAGAAAATGATATGCTTTCAGTTTATGGTGGCTGGCATAAAGATGCAGTAAGAGCCAAAGTTATGTATACTGAGAGGTATCCTGAAAGGTATATTCTGAACTGAAATCAGTATTTGAGAGATTGTCTGAATCGCTTTGACGAACCGGAAGTTCTGTTACTAAACGTAGCAAAACGTGCTACTTCAGACAAAAATAAGATTGCGGTCCTAGCAGCGATAACAAAAAAAACCCGTATGAGTACACTGCAGATTTCAAGAGGATCTGAAATTCCCAAAACAAGTGTACTACGAATTCAACATAAAGAAAAACATCAATTCAATCACCTAGCACTTCATCATAGCACTTTTTAGCTCCATGGCTGTAAACGTCGCTGTTCTAAGGAAACTTGTCATAAGTAGACTCTGGATCTCCATGCAAAATCAAATCTTGGCAAACGTACCTACAAAAATTGAACCTAAATAGAAATTTAGTTCAATAATATCTCTGTAAATATTATAATATGAACTTTACTCTCAATATTTTTTACCTTCTTGCATACTGTGTGCATTTTGTAGTTTCTTGCACACTCAGATCCCCTATAAATACATAAAAATCCGCAGTCTAGCGATAAGGTTGAATCTCCTACTTGATGTTACGTTAAGAAAATTTTTTAATAATAATGTGAAATCACTCGTTTTACCTATTAGGTTTGAGGCTAATAAAGGTCCATACTTTTGTATTCAGAATTCAATATTCTACCATATTTTTGTAGAAAAAATATACTATTCTATTTAAAAAAAACCAAAATTGTCTTTCGAAGCTCCAAAGCATCTCCACCTGTAAAAGAATTAACACAGTATATAGTATGTCCTTTCAAAACATGTAACTTTTGTATATAATATATAAATATATAATTATCTATATATACAGGGTGCCCACACAACGTGTGCACCTTTATAACTTCCAAAATATGCGTTGCACAAAATACACACACACACACGCGCGCGCGCGCGCGTATACTGTATATGTAAATATATATTACACGTGTTTTTAAAAAAGAGTGACAGATTAAAACACAAATTAGTAAACTAGTGTCCAATGGTATTAGTTTTAACATAATCAGATTTAAAAATGGGTGAGAGCTCGTTATACAGGGTAGATCACTTAATCTACATATCTATAGTAGTATATTCAAAATCCGTTTAATATAACAAAATAATAAAAAGAACGTTTTTCTCAAAGTTATCGACATTTCTGTAAATAGGATATTATATTCTCGCTAACTTACTACCGTGTTTCTATGCAAGTTAATAAAACCATAAATTTCCAAAAACCACTCTTGGAAATAATAATCTGTCTAGATGAAGGATTCGTGGCTGAATAATCCAGTGATTCAGCTTTCTGTTGCCAAAGCTCAGAACAAACGCCTGGCACCGGCAACAGGCACAATCGAGCGATAACAATTTGAAACCCGTGAAAATACTCCAATAGGAAGATAGTACAGCATCAATGTTTGCGGTCTGTGAGCATAGTGCGGGCAACGTGCGAACATCAGTTTGCGATACGGTCTTACCAAGTTGACGACTGTAGTTCCTCCCGTGAGTTCGGTTAACATCATTGAAACGATATCGGGAGGATCCCGACGGACGTCTGACTGGAAACGCGTGCTCTCTTCGATATCGAAGCAATGCCAGTACCCGATAAGGATTCTGTTAGTCTGGAAACAGAATCAGAAAAGAAACAGAATTATTCAATTGCCAAGTACGTAACTATATTAAGTTGGTTGCCGAATTATACCCGATTGGATGCTATCTCGGATTTGGTGGCTGGAGTGACTCTAGGACTAACGCTCATTCCTCAGAGTATCGCTTACGCTGCACTAGCAGGTCTGACGGCACAGGTATGGCACTTTAAAAATCTCACCTCATTTGTTTCTTTGCTTTTTACTTTCATTGCAACACTATTAGGATGGAGATCAAAGGTAGTCATGTTCTGACCACCAGTAAGACTGGGTGGTCCATCGGTCTACTTTTGTCTCCAATCTTCAACCATTTCTTGCCCATTTTAATTTTTGTCCTTTACAGCACCATTTGTGAACCAACATGCAAAAATTTAATTGCAAATCTGCAATAAAAAATGGGGGTTCCCATTTCAGTTTTTTATTTTCGAGTTTGGTATCATTGGATGTCCTCCTTCGCAATGAATAACTTTCATTTCCCACTTGTTTTGATCCGATGCATAATTCTTGAGATATTTGTCTTCAATGTCTTCAGATAAATGGACCACCTTGTATAGTAGTGTCTTTATTGCTGTCACTCCAACTATTTAAATATTAAGATAAAGGATAAGGGTAGTCACATTCTATCCATCGGACCTCTGATCAAACATTATACATTAATGTCCTTACTCCAATCACTTTAGAATAGCTGAATATTCAAATACTTAGATTAGGATAGAAAAGAGAGATGGTCACATTTTATCTAATAGAAATATAGATAAACTAGACCAACTAAGATGATCTGTCCTCTGACTAAGTGCTATACATTAATATCCTTATTCTAGTCACTTTAGGATATTCAAATATTGGGATGGTTGTCTTCGTTGCTTTTTAGAGACATGTAAATAACTCTACTTAGTAAAGTTGCATAGTACACTGGTGGAAATAATATTTACTTGAACATTTGTGTAATTTTCTATGAACTGTTAAATCATGTTAACTATAAGTAAATTATATTAAATTATATTAAACTGAAAATGCAAATGCAAAATGAAATTATATTTGTAGTTATTCTGTATCTTTCAGTTTAACTCAAGTATGAATCATGATGTTGTTTTATATATAATGCTAGATGTTACGTTAAAGAAACATCAAAACGATGAATTTCTTTTAGTATGGACTCTACTCTTGCTTCGTGGGCGCTTTTATATATATTATTTTTGGGACAATCAAAGAGGTATCAATTGGACCTTCGTCTTTGATGTCCATCTTAACTTTGGAATACACTAGAAACATGCCTGTGGACTTTATCGTGCTTTTCACTTTTCTGGCTGGATGCGTAGAATTGCTGATGGGGATACTACATTTAGGCTTGTATCGACAAATATTTTTAGTAATAGAAATTATAATAGCTTCACTTATATCAGGTCAGAGTACAAAGGGTTAAAAGGTCTAAGCAGTCAAATTATCCCAAAACAATCTATATGTATTAATTCCAAGAAAATGAGTCTAAATCCACACTTTTCCTTTTACATAATTCCTTTTACAAAATTTCCCTTTACAAACATTTATTTCTTATATGTATGGTAAGAAGGTACAGCAAGATTATTAAAATAACAACTACAAAACAACAAAATTTCATTTTCCATTGAAAAACAAGCAACATTTTTACCTTTTCTAAAAACATATGATTAAAAGTGTTTCTTAATCTTCGATAAACATGAACATTCTATAAACTGAAAATTTCAGTCATGCATAATTTCCTCGGAATTAATTTCAAATGAAGGTTGATTTTGGATTAATTAGACTTCCTAGTTCAAACATTATTCACCTGTACCATATCAACTAGGTCAGATAATCGAGATTCTATTGTACTTGTAGCTGTATTTGTTTCCCGAAGGACGATCTAACGTAGAAAATCATTTATACAGGGTTCTTAGTAGACTTCATATCCATACCTGTTACATCAGGATTCACATCAGCCACTTCTATTATTATAATCGTGGCTCAGTTGCAAGGGCTTCTGGGATTGAAGTTCAAGGCATCCAGCGTTGTTGCAGATCTAATCAAGATATGTCAAAATATTAGAAACATTCGTGTACCAGATATGACTCTTGGACTTTGCAGTATAGCCTTTCTTCTATCTTTCAGAGTAAGATCATTAACTTGCCAATGATAAAATTGATAAGTAATGCATGTTACATATTTACAGAAATTAAAAGATCTGGATCGCTGCTTTTCGAATAACAAACAAAAGAGAAATGACAAAGAAAGTGTTTTAAAAAAGATCTTGTGGTTTCTTCCTATCTGTCGCAATGCTTTGGTGATACTAATAACTTCCACAATAGCATTCTATCTCGAAAGAGCAGGATCAACCCCATTTATTCTTTCAGGTACTACTTCAAAGTGTCATTTTATTATCAAAGCATTGCAGTATCAATATATTACACGATTAACTATTCTTTTATTTCGCTTTAAAGGAAGGATACAATCAGGACTTCCTACGGTATCCTTGCCACCATTTTCATCGCAAGTGGGAAATCAAACTTACACTTTCTTCGACATGTGTTATCACTATGGAACAGGGATAATTGTGTTACCTCTTGTGTCAGTGTTAGCGAATGTGGCTATTGCCAAAGCATTTGGTAAAAAGTACACTTACGCAGACTTGCATTCAAAATGCACTATGACGAATGCGTCGTGTTTATCTAAAAGTTCTATCTATTCGTTGTCTGTTTTCTTTCTTAAAACAATGCAACATGACTTGTCGTATATGTTTTCATTGATTGTTTGTACAGAAGGGCATATGAAATGGCACGAACAAATCTTGAATGCGAATGAACTGTCCTCCATAATAGTTAGACAATGTCTGAAAAGGATAATATCATAATATAATATAATATAATAATAATATATAATGTATAATATAATGAGTATAAGTGGTGAAAGAAACTTTTGGGACAACCTAATATTTAGAAAATACATAAACCAATAAATGTTACAATATCATTATTTTGCTTAGTTATTTAATGTTTCATCAATTCGATATGAATATAGCTGTATGAAACAGCTAGTCCTAATTCTAAAATATAGTACCATAAAGTTGCTGATAGTATCCCTTAGTTTTACATGTGATAAACTACCAGAGAGATTTTAGTGAATATTTCTCACATCGTGTGGTACATATATGGGTAATCCCACTCTTGAGTAAAAAATACCTTATGTGACTTCACATTTTCATTTTCCCTAATAAGTTTCACGTGTTCATCAGTGTGCCTTGAATGCAAGCCTGAAGTTTCTCTATCTCTGCGCATCAACCAGCATCAACGAACAAACAATGTATGATTTTGTTTCCAGCGAGCGGCAAGACCCTAAACGCGACGCAAGAAATGCTAACACTTGGTTTGTGTAATATATTTGGGAGCTTATTTTCAGCTATGCCAAGTACCGGAGCATTCACGAGAAGTGCTGTAATTTCTGCCAGCGGTGTCCGAACACCTCTGGCTGGCATATATGTTGGTAATATTCTTATTTTAAGCATTTTAAGTATTTGCAATGGATTCCAATTAATTGAGACATGTTGTGTTAGAACATTTACTATTATTGGTTTATTTCAGGCAACTAAATATAACTAACACTACAGGATTAATTCAATTAAGTCAATGAATTATTAACAAGATAACGAGGCTGTAATCCTCGGTGGACTCCACATGGTCTTTTGAGGATTAAGGTTTGCCCTAAATAAACTATTCGATTAATCGATGGCCCAATAAATCGGAATCCACTGTATTTCAAGCAAACATGTTTTTATTAAGTTTCGACTAAAAAGATCTCAAACATTGTAGGTATCATGGCGTTATTGGCGTTAAGCTTTTTAACTCCATACTTTTATTATATTCCACGTGCCACGCTTGCAGCAGTGTTGATAAGCGCTGTAGTGTTCATCATTGACTTGAAGATAATAAAGCTACTCTGGAATGGAAGCAGTAGGTGTTACAATTGATACAGAGTAATGCTCATCAGGCTGATATATAAGATATAAGACTATAATTAATATCACTGATGTGCATGATGCACTCCACATTAATGCAATTCCAAAATTTTGGTACTTCAGTTCGCAAAGTAGTCACATGTCATTAATATTTGAAATACAATTAGTGACGTAATTCCTTAAAACGCATAGAAGTATTTAACAGTCCACTATGTATGTAGTTAATTACAATGTGCCCATATTAGAGATAACTTTATTTGATAGTTAAAGCTTCATGGTATATGGCTATTTTTCTTTTCCTGATTTTCAAAAGCATTTCTTTCATTCGAAATCTGCAAATAACATGACTATGCAAACTAACAATGTATTCACAGTTTCAATTGAACTTGATCTTTCCATAGTACCTAATATTTTTATGTAATTTATTTTGTAATATTTTTATCTATATTTACAGTAACTAATAATTGGACTAGCCATCGATCATTTGATTGTTTCTGTTAAGCGTACAGAGTATTTTAAATTATGCATCTTGTAAAATACACTCAACGATATTTTATCTTATTCTTTATTGTAGAAAAGGATGCCTTCGCTGCAATAGTTACATTCTTAGTTAGCGTCTCTTTAGGAGTGGAGATAGGACTTTTAACTGGCGCCCTATTTAATGTAATTTTCCTCCTTCGACCATCTGCAAGGCCAAACATTGAAGTATTACAATGCAAGGTAAAAGATGATATTCTAATACAACCCATTGATAATAGTAGTAGTGTTAAGGATCTATTTTCTTTAATTCTATTTCTATTATTCATCTTTTGTTAGACTCAACATGGAGACAAATACGTAATGATCAAACCAGATGCTGGACTTCTTTATCCTGCTGCTAACTATTTTTGTAATAATGTAATCGAAGTTGTTCAAAAATATGATAAAAATGACATGGTATTCATTATTAATTGCGAAAGGATACAAACTATTGATTACTCAGCGATAAAGGTATGAAGTAGTAATTTTTTAACAAAAATTTGTTAACAAAGTATTCTACGACTTTAGTGGAAAGATATTATTGCCATATTGTATCACTCTATGCTGATACGTATTCTATGTAAGTAATTTCATAGGTTTGAATGATACGCACTATTCCGTTACAGGGAATTGAAATACTATCGAGAAGTATGAATACGGAAAAAAAGAAACTATGGTTCTTGAACGTTAATTCAGAAGTGTCTCAAAATATCCAAATTCTTGGTAATAATAAATACTTTTGCTTCATTGACGAAGAAGACAAAATATCCTGTATATTTTACGGTACACATTACAGTTATATTGATACTTTCAATCTTATTTTGATTATTCTAAAGCATATATATTCCAGATGATACAATAACGACAAATAGAGAAGAAGTGAAAGAAAAACTTTTAGAAAATGTTGTAGAAAGGGCAACGTTTACTCTCATAAATGATAGAAACTGTTCACAGACAATTGACAAATGTGTAGAAAATGTTGATGACGGTCCCGAAGAAATTGCATTAATGTCGACGTTATCATCTAAAACAAAATAAAAATGAAAACTGAATCGACTATTAATTCGAATCAATATTTCGTCGAAACAACGAATATCGAGAATAAAGATAAATAATTGTTCTTTGTCTTCGAAAAGGAGGAGGTTACTCTATTCAACATGTATATATATATATATTTTTTTTTTCTTCTTCTAAATGTCCATCAACTTCGAAAACGAAAGAGTTAATAAAATTTAATAAATAACGTGATTAACATAAAGGCTTGAAGTTGTACATTTTGAAGATAGCATTCGTTCAAATGATATCTTTCTCTTCTTCGAGATGTCCTGATGTACATATTCAATAGTTTTATTTCGTTTATTTATTTCTATGAAGGGCATTCTTTCATGATAAGGAATCAGTCCTCCCATTAATAGCCACAGTATACAATTTCTAAAAAAAATTAATGATGCAATAAATAACGCATTGTATCAACGAACAAGGGGAAAAGAACAAGACATTTTAAAAAATACGCGGCTTTAATATAAAGTATAATTAAAAGGTACATAAAATACGTTTTATCGTTGAGCCTTTGCAGTCCTATCTCGAGGTTTGGCAAAAGTATACTGGAATCAGAGAACCTAGACCGCAAAGGGTGAATGTTATTGTACAATTCTAGGTTATAAAAATAAAACTAATTCTATGGCGTAAAGAGTACAATAGGTTGGTCCAGAAATATCACAGGAAACGTTACTCCCTTTATAACGTTCTTTATAGAAACGATAGATTAAGGAAACCCAATGCAACAGTTACGTTAGACACAGTTCACATAGTTCAGTATGAAAGCGAGCACAACTTTTTGACCTAACTGAACTGTTAAGTTAGTTTGCCAGTATGCGAGTACCTCTATCGACTCTGTTAGTCTTTAATGTCTTCTTCTCGGTACTGGCGACTCTTGATTCACAAGTTATTGTAGGTTGAGATATTCTATATACACATCATTATTTTCGTCTGGTTCGCAAACTACGAACTGAAGGCATTGGTGACGGCGTGATTTCTATGGTACTCTGAACAGACAAACACTTGTATAAATCATATGCGTAGTATGTACAGTGGGTGTAGAATGTATTCGTACACCGATCAATTTCCCAAAAAACTTTTCTGTGAAATTGTAGTTTCTTAACTTCTTTTTGTATAATCAATAATATTTCACATGTTCTCGGAAGTCTCTAAGATAGATATAGTCCAAACAACATTTACTAGTTAATATAATTTGTGGAATTAACAAAAACATGTGACTGAAGAATGAGAATTCTTATGACGAACCATTTACAGTAGAGTTTGTAACGTAGACACATTAGTTTATTGCTCCATACTAATTAGAAAACATCAAATTTCCAGTAAAGTATTTTTAAAAATAGCTCTAATAGAGGAATCGAAGAAGATCCACTTCGAATAACTAATACATTTAGTTAATTTAATCCCACGAAAGAAGTATTATATACTTGTAAAGTAATGTAAATTTCCTATTTTTTTTAATCAAGTTTTAAAAATTAAACAGTTGTACGAATACTTATTGCTTCAATATTTCTATCGATTAATTGTTTTTTTCTTGTTAATTTAGCAACTTAATAAATAGCTATTTTTTGTGTAATCTATCTATTCTAAAGATTTCCGAAAATAAATAGAATGTCACTGTTTATAAAAGAATAAGTTAATAAATTACAATTTTACATAGTTTTTTTGGAAATTGATCGGTGTACGAATACTTTCTACATCCACTATATGTAATAATAAATGTTAAGGTTACAAGAACGTACCTCGAGGGGCTCGATATCTTGAGCAGACTCTTGCTCTGGTATATACAATTTCTTCTTACGAGCATTTTTCTTTTTCTCCGAATGCGAACCCGAAGAAGATTGTAACGCACCATGTTTTGTGTTTCGTCTAAAATAAAACAATATTCTTGAATATCTATCTAAAATCAAATCATATACATATATATATATATTGTATATCACGATCAAGAACATACTTCGTTTCGGACTTGGAAAGATCAATTACTGATACTTCGTTATCCGACGGTGACATCACGTATCTTTTTGGCGGCCTTCTTAGTCGACGTGACTTTGGCACTACTTCGTCTTCTGACGTGTTTTCACAATATTCTTTCTTTTTAGCTTCGTTTTCTGTTACCTATGAAATAAGACTTATTATTACAAATTCAACAAAAAAATATTCCATCGAAAAATGATAAAGAAGCAATACCATTGTTTTCTGTTTGGCGATGTCTTCTTGTTGACGTTTTACTAAGTTTTCATACATTGCGACCATCTCGTCCCTGTGCTTCATAAATGCCTCCATTTCACGTTCTTTCTCGGTGAGACTGTTTTTCAGTTCCTCGTTTAGACTTCTTAACCTATCGTTTTCTGCCTGTCTTTCTTGGTTGCTTTGTTGGAGAACATTGAGGACCATGGCGTTTTGTTCTAAACTTTGTACATGCTGTTTTAAAGTCTTGATATATTCGTCCTTTTCCGAAAGCATTTCTTTTGTTTCTGTTAATTGCTTAATCGTATCCTTCATCCCCTTTTCCATCAATTTATCGTTCTGGTCGTCATTGTCGGTCTTCTGTATCAGATGCTTTATTTCTATAACAAACAGGGAAAATATAAACAGAACAAAAGTAATACGCTATTTATAAACACGTATTTAACTAACCACTTTGAAGCGAAGATATTTCAATATCTTTCTCGTGTTGTAGTTCCTCCGCATGCTCTAACTGATCTTCGAGTTCTAGACGCTTGTCGTTATTCTGGTCCAATAACTTCTGTAGACGTTCCTTTTCTCCTCGACATACTTCTAATTGTCTGTTTAACTCTCCAATTTGTTTTTCCAGCTCTGTTATATTTTCATGGTCGTGTTCTAATTCTCTGAGTTTCGTGACGTGGACATCTAAACACTGCGATTTGATGTCAAACTTCTCTTTTGCGACATCAAGTTCTTTCTGTAAATTATTTATCGTTGGTTCGTGTTCGTTTTTGCACTGAAAAGTAATGAAAAGTAATGAAACGATTAAGTATACGCCAAAAATTATGATATTTCTGTAAATACATACCTTTGAGACATGGGAATCAAAGTCTCTTTGCAAAGTATTCAATTTCTGGAAACATGAAGTTTTTAAAAGTTATAGAATTTTATATAAAAATTTATTAAGATAGTGAACAGTTACATACCTCCATACATTGATCGTAGTCTTTCTTAGTAACTGAAAGTTCCTTTTCAGCATCATTAAGTTGCTGTTCATAGTTGGTAATTTTTGACTCTAAGGTATTCTTAAGATCATCACTATGCTGCAATGCCTCTTCAACATGTTTTTTGCCTTCTTTAATAACAGAGATTTCATTTTGGAGCGACTCGATAGACTGTTTATATTTTGTTAGAACAACTTCATTCGTATTACTTTCTTCCAAAAGACTTTCTATTCTTTGTTTCAAGGACGATACTTCTTCTTCTACCTCTTCTAGTATCTTAAAAATAATGGCATTTGTTATAATGAATAATTGCATTATTATATACATTGATAAAATATACAGTCACTTTTATTTTTACATACCGAACACTTTTCTTGGTATCGTAATTTGATGTCGTCGTGTTTTACCGTTAGTTTTGCTAATTGATCCAAAATAGCGTCATAATCTTCAATTTCTCCGACAAAACTTGTTTGACTAATCTCTTCCTTTGTCATACTTTCGATGGTTTGACTACTTTTATGATGCGCGTCATTTTCAGTGTCATCTGCCTGCTCTTTTTCAGGTTGGGTATTAGTTTGACTACTTTTATCGTGTACATCGTTTTCAACTGTAGGCTTTACATTAATAATTTTCAAAGTGCATATTTGATCGGCTATATCCTTTAATTTAAGTTTAGCAGATTCCAACTCTTCTTTCAAACTTTGTATTTCGGTTGAACTTTGAGTTAATTTCTCTTTTAATGCAGAATTCTCAGCCTCCACAGACATTATTTTTTCTTTCATTTGGGGTTCAAGCTTCTCATTTTCTGTACAGTTAATAATTAATTACGTCTATAGTATTTTACCAATAAAAATGTACGTACTAATTTTAATATTATTTTTCTTGTACGACTTACCTAATATTTCTTCCTTGGCAACAGGTTGGGTTTCCAGCGGTAGAACAACTTTATCAAGGCCTTCATTTTTCACAGCATCATCGGATTCTTCAAACAGCTATTAAATAAAAATTTATAATATACATTCGTATTAATAAAATTAAACGAAATAATTATTTATATCTTTAAAAAATCAAACAATAACGTACATCCTTTTCGCATTCTACATTTTTTATACTACTCTCGATCGAAGCTGTTTTCTTCAATAATTGGACTTCATCTAACAACAAACATTTTTCACTTTCTAATTTATTTATATATTCTTGCATATTGCATAGCTCGTTATCTTTCTCCACTATTTTCTTGCTTTGATTTTCCAATTTTTCTTCTAATATCTCGACAGTCTTAGATTTTTCTGTCAAGCAAATATTAATATTTCCGAGGTCTGCTTCTAAATCATCTATAGTTTCTTGTTTTTCAAATAGTTCTTCTTCTTGTTCTTTGATTATGTGTGTTTTTTCCATCATCTCGGTAGTGATCGAAATGTACTCTTCCTTGGCTTCGTTCAAGAATATTTTAAGTTTCTGAAAGAGGTTAATTATGAATCAGAAAAATAACAATAAGTTCGTTATCAAAGCTGTTTTAAATACCTTGACTTGTTCCTGTTTAGCGACTAGCTGAGTCTCTAATTCTTCTATATAATACTTAGTATCTTCATCGGAAGAAATGACATGCTGAGCAGCATCCAACAAACTCTTCACATTCTTTAAATCATCCTTTACCATGCTCAGTTCAAAAATTACTTTATTCTTGTCCACCATTACGGATTTATTCGAATTTTTAAGTTCCTTAATACTACTTCTTAGTTCCACGACTTGCGTTTCTAAACGCGAATTTCTTTTTTCTAGCTCTTCAATAATTTTCTCATTGTCATCGTCTGCATCGACGGACGATCGTCTTCTCTTACGACCATCGTGTTCGTTCAATTTTTGCTTGTAGAAGTCCTCAACTTTTTTCAGAGACCATGCAAGTATATCTTCTTGTTCCTTTTCCACGTCCTTTATACGATTCTTCCAGTCAACTTCGAGCTTCTTCATCATAGTAGTGTAAGTATCGGCTACTTCTTGTCGTATCTGAAGATCACGACTAAACGCAGAATTTTTCAAAGCAGCGATTTCTTTTTTCAATCTCTCATTCTCGCACATCAACTCTCTGTGTTCTTCGGCATGAACATAACTGGACAGACTATTGTCGTCAACGTCCTGCCAATCTTCGCTTCCTAATTCCGTAGCGTCCCAATCAGTCACTGTTTTCACACTTTGTCGAACTATTTCTGTAAATCTCGTCTTCGATTTTTTCTTCACCTTTTCCTTTTGCTCTATAACTATTTTCTTTGCAATAGCGGAGAAGTTTAATACACTCTGCGTTTCTATGTACAAGTTCGGTACAGGATTGATGTTTACAATCAAAGCTATATGCTCTTTACCGGATAGCGCTTTCTGGAATAGCCTCGTTAATTTAGATTCTCTGAACGGACCGACTTGTTCGATTTTCTGCTTCGATATCTGTCCGTCGTGAATCGTCTTCAAACATCTTCCTAGTACCATTAGGCTCGTGTTAATATTTTGCGCTTCCTTCAGCCTGTCACCGATATTTAACGTCTTCTTTAAACGTTCTGAACCAGCCAGATCGCAGAAAGTGAAACTGTAAAAAATGTATCGTATAGTACGCCAGGTATTAATGTAACAATGATAAAAAGAAATATTGTTTACATACGTGCTAACTTCTACAGAATTAGGGTCGTTTTCGATGTAATACTTCAAAAGTTTGATAGTAAATATACAGTGAGATCTCGAACTTCTTGCGTTTAAAGCAGTCGCAGCTACCTTCAAATTGTACTGTCCAGCCATTAAAACTTGATAAGCTTCGGACCCAGAATTAACACAAATTGTCTTGAGGCCTTTAATAAATGCCCTCCCGTTTGCATCAGTTACTACTTTAAGAGGTGTTCTTCGATTTTTACTCTCATTTGATAAGAGGTCATAAACAGTTTCATTATAAATTTCAGCAAAGGAAACCCAAACAGAATAATGCGCGTCTATACATTGGCTGGGCCTGATCGGGACTTCTTCCTGCAATAACTTCTGCATTTCTTTGTATGCGTTAATATATTGATATTTATCCACAGAAGCAAATGTCAATAACTTGGTTTTTATTTCTAATTCTTGAGCACGTTCAAGAGGATCCACGCTAACGACGTCGCAATGATTTACTGGTTTGTAAGAGGGAGTGGATTTTGTCGTAATATTAGAGAAGACAAACTCTAAACATCTCGGTATAATTCCAGGGGATGTGGTGGTTCCTTGTAATGTGTAAGACTTCCCTGAATTTGTGGTGCCTATAAAATAATTAAGACTTAGGATTTAATAATTCAAACTTATTTAACATGTATCTAATTTGGAAAACGTATAATGTCCTTACCATAAGTCATGATAGTAGAATTTTGCCCGGTCAAAAAGTCCATCATTTGTTGCTTCACAGCTTGTTCGAATAATTCTAATTGAGTAGTCTCTGGACCAAAAGTTTTAGTAAACGTAAACCTCCTGCATATAATATCCATGCTGTTAGATCTTTTAAGGCAACTAGTATTGGTATCTAAAGTAGGCAGCCTTGTGAACAATGTAGTCGAATTGATAATGTTATACGCATCCTGTTGTTCTTGAGTTAATTTTAACTTTCTTGGGAACGGTTTCATTCGTAAATATACTTTAACGGTTTGAAATGTTTGCGAGTCTGAATTTAATGAAGTGGTGTCTTCTATAAAACACGATTCTTCGACATCATAGACAGAAAGTAAATTTTTCCTCGTTTGCTGTGAAATACATGGTCGATGATTATAAGCTAATATACTTGGATCTCTTCCAAATAGATACGACATATCTTCCTGTGGAATTGGATTGCTAGAGGGTCTAATAGAATCTACTGTCTTATCCATCTGAAAAAATTAAAACAAAGTATTTACTTTTTGTATAGCTTATGTTTTTTATATTAGATTCAAAATACTGTGTATCTTTTTGTGAATAAACCTTCAAGAAAACTAAAATATTTTGAATCATTGAGACATAACTCTTAAATGTACATTTTTAAAGCAATTATAAACAACACGCATTCTTATTTATATACATCACCCATTATTAGAGATTGTTTAAAACGAAACGTTTGTATGTGAATAATAATACAATAAGATGATTAACCTGTTAAAGAGTTCTCTTTAAACACATACCTTTTATTCTAAGTTAATAGGTCTCACTTATTAAATAATAAATTAATTTAAAATATATGTTTACGTTCATTTCTTTTCGCCGACCCTTATTCCACGACAAACGGTTAGTATATGGTGGTAACGTGGTAACAGTTAGCATTTCAATTTGAAATCTTACCATAAAAAAGCTGTACGCTGATTGGTGGGATCTTTGCAAACGAGTGTTATTACTGCGTTAGCGTTTGACCAATGAAATTCGTCAGATGAGAATGTTTTGATTCATCGTAACCCCCTCTACTTTATGTTTACAAACATTGAATTATGGTTGTTAGATACAGGGTGTCCCAAAAATGTTGTAATACTTTGAAAGGGGTGGTTCGGGAGGTGATTTGAAATAACTTATTCCTTAGGAAAAATATTGTCCGAGGCTTCGTTGAAGAGATACTAACGGAAAACACTGACCAATCAGAGCGCGTAGCCTACCTCCGCCAACATACTCGCACTCTGATTGGTCGGGGTTTTCTTATTTTTAATTATTTTTAATTAATTAATATCTCCTTAACAAAGCCTCGGACAATATTTTTTTTAAGAAAAAAGTTGTTTCAAATCACCTCCCGAACCGTCCCTTTTAAGGAACTCCAATATTTTTAGGACACCCTGTATTATAGCTTTTGCAATTTCGTTTTTGAATCATGATAAATTATACGTTCAATGGCTGGCAAGAAATTTCAAGGTGTGTGATTTCACTTAAAAAACCTTTTACAAAATTTAAATAACATCCTTAATTCTTAATCATTATTCCTAGACTCCTGAATTTATTTTTTTGTTATTTCAAACGGTTAGAAGAAATATGAAAGAAATGAACCAATCAGAGCATGGGTAGAGGCAATATGGTGTCGCCCACACCTATCAAAGTACGCCAAATACACATATCTTTATCTACTCGTATCTTTTAAACTATTGGTTTCCTAAACTTTTAACTTACATTTTCGGACTTTTCAGATCAAAAACTACAAGATTTGATAAGTTTTAACCCCCCAAAATATGGGCCCCTGAGCCAAAGTTTAACCAATTTTTTATTTCATTTTCCTCGAAAGAACACTTTGTGAGGCGATACATATACTATTTATGATTACAAAAAGCATAATTATTAAATGTTTTTTTCATTATTGTTCCTGAAAAACGAGAAAAATATTTAATAGAAATATGAATGAAATACTCTTATAATTTTTTAGTCCGTGGTTGGTTAGTTGGCATCTATTTCACACTAGTTTCACAAAAGAAAATCTGGGTAATATGTGAAGTTGAAATGAAAATTTCTCTATTTCTAGTATCACGTACTTGAAATTTAGTTTTCTCGTCTAAAGACTCACCAATTCATGGAAGATCCTTCGAAGATCATTGAAGATGCTGTTCTTTGTTAAATAAATTATATTGTAATTAATTTTTGAAAAAAAATTTAATTTGTATAATATTTGAAACTGAAATAAAGAAAATGATGGAAGGTATGATAAACAATTTTTCAAGCATGTTTTAGATCAAAATATATTCGATTCAATTAATTTCAATATCTGTCAATCCGTGGTTAAAGTACGAATGTCAAAACATCTAATGTTATTTAAAGATCTTTCGATGACGAATAAATGAATACTTATGTATTACCAAAGTACTTTGTGTTAAACAGAAAGAATTTATTTTACGTGATATCAATGAATTATATCCATGATATTTAAAATCGAAGAACATATCAAATGTATGTTTACTCATTTTTAAATATATTTCTTGTTTCAGGTGAACTGAAATATAACATTGCTAAGTTAGTCGAAGATTTAAGGTTTGTTATAAAGTCAGAAAAAGAGATCGAAGACATTATCCAAATTTTAGACTCGATTGTCAATGTTAGCAAAACTTCTATTGGAGGTATTATGTGATTCTTAGTATTAATTAATTGAAGGATGCTAAAATATATAGTTATATTTTTGTTGCAAGCGATAACGCTAGCTGCAAAAAATTTACATCTATACATACGTAATAAAACCTCGATTATTGAATTATTTTAAGATATGTGACTTGTTTGAATAATCGAGGTCCCATTCTATGTATAATTTAGCATATATACATATACTTTTATATTTTCTTGTAATAAATATTTACTTTATCTTTTTTAGAAGCTACTGAATTCACAGTGGACGATGTCTTTTTAACTTTATTGCATCACGAATCTAAAGAAATCATTGTGAGAACTGCTAAAGCAATCGCTGAAATTGCCAAGAATGAAAGGGGAAGAGAGAAATGCACCAGTATAGATCTAGTGAACGCATTAATAGATCTCTTAAAGGATGATCGAATTGATGTATTGACACAAACATCCAGAGCTTTGGGAAATATTTGTTACGAGAATGGTAGGGAGCTTTAATCCCTAATGAACCAAATTTTATTCATGTATGTAGCTAACATTAAAATGACCATTATTATAATACTATATTATTAAAAATAGTAATCCCAATGATTTTGTCTTGGTTATTATACAAATTTGGTGTTTTTGTAGGTATTATGTGTTCAATAGCAATCTTCGATTAAAATCCGTAACATTTAAAATTTTTTCTTAATTTTGTTGTATGCATAATGAATATACATTATCAAAAAGTTATAGAAACTGTAGTTTAAGGATTAAAATGGGATACTGCATTTAAAGTATTTTTGTAAATATTCTAATATACTCTGTATTCAAGGACTACGGAAATAGAGCTAGAAGTGTTTAATATTTGATTAGCATATAGGTACTTGAATACTATGAATAAACTTAATAAAATTTTATATAGAAATAAAAATTTATAGTAAAGAAAGATATTGATGCAAAACTTAATTATATAGAATTTCGTTCAAATTACATTCAATCGATTTGAAACTAATAAGAATTAAACAATTATAGAAAATGGAAAGAAATTCATTGACGACAATAATGGGTTGACTTCAATTCTGGCAGTATTGGAGAAAAGTGTAACACTGAAAAATGTAGAAGGAGTACCATTTCTCCGTAATGTTGCTGCAGGACTTCTGCTGAACTTTCTTCTTGATCGATCGTCTCTTCATAAAGAAGTATGACACATTTTGCACACTCTCTTAACTTTCTTTATCACATTAATTATTCCCATTGTTAATATTTAAATTATCGCATGTATACTAGTATGTTGACAAAAGATACAAATCGTATACTATGAAGAAACATACTTTGTTGAATTGTAATTTTGTACATTGCAAAGAAAAGTAACGAACACATACTAATACATTGATGTAATCATCATAAATTCTTAACATAACATACTAGTACATTCATGGTAATGAATATGTTAATCTGTAGGAAAACTTTCTTAGGCATTGCAACAGGAAACAGTACCTATTATCTGCAGTATTTTGGAAATCGATGGAACTACAGGTGGAGAAGCTGCGATGCATGCACTTCCAATACTAGGAATACTGGATGATGCTAATATAGAGTTTCTAGATGAAAGGCTTACAAAAATTTTGATTGACATTTTGGCCAGCGATACATCTTCGGAACTTTCTGAAATGTGTTTGGAACTTCTTCATGGTCAAGCAGAGAATGGTATCTTGATAATTATAAAAACAATTTTGAATCGCTAGAATTTTAAAGCTTTATTCGATTAGTAATCTAATAAAATTCATTTACAACTATTCTTACGACTTAGAATATGTAAAATATATATCATACCGTTGACTTATATCATTTGACGCTGATTGACATTATAATACAAATATTTAAATTTTAGAGAATGTAAAGTTATTGCTTGCAAAAGCAGGTGTTTGTGAATTATTGTTAAAACTTCTGGAAAAACATAGTCCATATTGTACTGACGAAGAGACTAGGTTATTGTTAAAACTTGCCTGCAATTTAATCGTCCTTGTATTAACTGGAGGTATGTTAACAACGATATTTTGATTCAAGTAATATTATCATTGTCTGTAGAAGATATTGAAATGCACTACTATCTTTCCTGTTCATATTATTTTAATAAATAAATTGAAATAAATAAAATGATAACAAATGGCCATTTATCGGAATGTAAAGATTTAAAGCGGAGGTTATATTTGGTAGATTAAATGCGTTAAATCAAATTGCAATTAGGGGCTTTATATTACAATAAATGACCTAGTTATTATAGGTCTAAATAAATGCTACCATATTACAAATAGAATATGCAAGGTTCCATTTATAAAAATTAATTTGTTCATTAAATCTCCCCTATCGCTTCATTAAAAAAAAATTATTTACGCCTTATAATTTGCTCCTTTGTACCAAATAACTTTTGTAAGAATATTTTTTAATATCTTCATCCTTCCATATGGTATTTAACCATTCTTATCTAGCCGAAACACCCTGTATATGTATATAATATATGTATGCAGATAATACATATCATTTAATGTGTAATTAGAAAATTTATTCATACATATTATAAGAAAGTTTATAATCTATTTTTTTCAGATGAGAGTATGAACTGTCTCTATGATAATAGTAATGGGATTGTATATAAGAAACTAGTTCAGTGGCTTGAAAGCGAGGACAAGGATTTGCAAATCACAGCGGTGCTGGCAATGGGTAATTTTGCGCGCACCGATGCCCATTGTAAGCTCATGGTTACTCAAGGTGTTCACCGCAATCTCCTTAAACTGCTTCAGAGCAATAATACAAATACTGCTGATGTAAGATTCCAGTATGCTTTACTCAGTGCTTTGAGGAACCTTGTCATTCCTGCAGAAAACAAGCCTATAATATTGCAAGATGGATTAATAGATGTTTTGTATTCGATGCTGGATATTCAATCATGTACCGTGGTTATTAAATTATTGGGAACATTAAGGATTGTTATCGATGGCCAATGTAAGGTTACATTTCAGAAATATTTATTACAAATAATAGTTTTTAAATACGTGTTCATATATATCTTTATTTTTATTTTGTATATCTCTTTCCAATTGTTACAATATTCTTTGATATCTATTCCTATGCAATTTATCCAGATGAAATTGTTACTTTAAAACGAAATGATAAGAAATCATTTCCTTATTAAGAAAATAAATCTAATATGTAAAAACTGGTTTTGTAATATAAATTGATATATCTATTCGCTGTTACAGGCGAAGCTGCCATAGAGTTAGGAAAAAAAAATAATTTAATAAAGAAAACTGTTGAATGGTGCGAAGTTGAAGAACTTCCTGAAGTATTTCAAGGTGAAGCACATCGCTTAATGGCTTGGCTGATCAATAATAGCAGGTAAATTGATTTTAATAAATACATATGATTGTGCAAAAATGTATGTATTTCTATGTTGCAATTCGCTATATTTATAATTTCTATGTGTCTAAAAATATCTTTGGTACTTGCTTCGACAATCTTTTTAGTATTTTCTAATACTTTGTAAAATATTTTCGTTTTCTTTATTTATGTTTGATATAATTAAATGGTATTAAATTACTTCGTCACAATATTATTTTAATCAGGAAAATTAAATAAAAATTAAATAAAATTTTCAAATCAAATGGACACTCACATTCTGATTTTTACTATACTATTATTATACATATATGACAATTATTTTTACAATATTATTTGAATAGGTAAACAAAACTAAACTTACATCTTTTCGTATCTTTTAAATTAGGAATAAGGAAATTTCACTTTCGGTAATAGAACATGGAGCAGTGAAACATTTAGTCAATATGCTAATGGCACATCATATTCTAATGCAGAATGAAGCTTTAATTAGTTTGATGATATTGACCACAAGCTGTTTATCTGAATGCGAAAAGCTCCTTCTCGAGGCTGATATAGGAGAAAAACTCTGTAAATTCTTTGATACTGTGAACAATCTAGAAATACCAATTTTGCAAAACATTGTGTCTCTATTGGATAATATTACTAATTCAGGTATTATAAACTACATTTATTTAACGTTTTGTGTTACACTTTATGCATAAATTTTATATTTTATAACGATAATATCGATAAAATGTAGACGTTCAAAGATATAAACAATGACTTTTTAATTAGTTTATATTATAAAAAAAGAAGTGTTGGGATTATGCTCAAAACTGTATTTAAATAAAAATTTCAGGTACATTAAGAGAACATCTTGGAAAAACTAACTTAAGAGCATTATGTCAAAAAGTGGCTGAAAATAAAGGAAATTCAACTCTTCAAAACAGATTACAAGAGATTTGTGACAAACTTAATTAAATAATGGAAGAAACTCGAAACGTTTTTTTATGAAATACTGTCATCCAATAGAATATACAATTTTTTCCTAAAAAAAAAAGAAAAAAAAAGTGAACCTTGATGCTGAGATATGATAACCATTTCATATGTAAAGCAATATTTTTATAAAACGTCCGATGTGTACGATTATAAAGATCAATTCATATTGAAACAATAAAATAGAATATTTAATTTCATCCATTCAGAAGTGGTAAGTAACGACAATACATGAAAAAATTGTTTGAAATCGGCATCATGTTTTTAACTAAAATCACAAGCATTCAATTAAATAATCCATTTATTGAATTAAGATGAATATAATTGTGTAAGATGAATATACTTTGTATATGTATCTATTATGTGGTCAATTGCTACTTAATATAAATGTGATTAATCAGTTGACTAACTATGGGAAAATTCTAAAGATTTGTGAATACAAAATCCAGTAGGTGGATGTATAATTATTCGCCGTTTTTTAAAAACGATAATTGTCCAAAAACTGAACATCAGAATACACTCGGAATATGTTGATAAACTACTTCCTGAAAAAGTTTTGCAGGAGCCACAACGGTACGAAAAAAACACGCCAGATGATTATGGATCAACCCGGTATATATACTTTTAGGAATTTGACCAAACTATATTATTTACATGACCATTTATGAGATTAATATTAAAATAAATCTATATATGAGAACTTCTCATAGTTGAAATGTTTATTTGCTTTATTATTCTCAAAGAATGCATGCATTCTTTGTAATTGCAATTACTTTTGAAAGTTTGACATTGTGTTTCTACTAAGATGATCAAGAAATTACTCCTTTAGATTTGATATTGTTTAAAAACTACTAACAATATCAATGAATTTATATTAAATGTCATAGCTTTAGTTTCTTTATTTTTCAACTATTGATAAATCACAGTTTTATTATTGTATCTTTACGGTGTAATCAGAAAAATTAAATAAATGTCTAAACTAATCTATTTCTTATGCTTTTAATATTTTAAACAAGATGTATAACACGTAAGTAACAATTAACACTTAAATATAACACGTATGTATTATTTTATTTCCATGTTATCTATATTTTACATTTTACTTGAGAAATACATGTATCGAAGAATTTATTATTTTCAGTAACAGTGAATATATCCAGCATTGTAGATAAAAAAACTCATACCATACGTTCTACTGATAATTCTAAATTTGAAGTCTCTGAAATCTGAAGTTTTAAATATAACAATTTTAATTAGGGCAGTAAATCTTTAACAGTACTAAGGTGCTTATTCAAAGTTAGTGAAAAATAATTTATAGTTTTTGTTGCATATTTATAATTTCAGCAAAATTTCCAAGGTATTACAACGTGAACAAAAGTAAAATACTAATGAAAAATGCAGAATATCAGTCCACTGATGATATAACAAATATATAAAGGTATATTTTATCATTTTTATTTTTATTTGTAGAAATGGTTTTTTAAAAATTTCTTACAAATTCCGTTAAATATTTAACTTCTACATCTTTTTTCAAACTTTCTTTGAATAATGTTGTATACCATTTCATTTAATAAATATTGTAATTGTCTTCTAAAATACATTGTAATATATATATATATTGTATAAAATGGATATAAAGTTTTATTAATAATGTTTCTTTAACCTAGTGTACAAGTTAATGAAATAGTATAGAATAGCTCATGAAATAGACTGATTCTTTTCTTAATTCATTTATGATTGATGGTAAATGAAAAAATAATTTCGGACATTATTACTTATACAGGGTGTCCTAAAAATATTGTAACACCTTGAAAGAGATTTCTTTTCGAAAATATCAGTTTACAAACTAAAATAGCTTTCCAAACTATTCTCTGGTTAAATTTACACTCTTCGAAAATACAATCTCGTGAAAATTATGTACAGTACGTGTCAATTACGATTAATACAGGGTGTCCCAAAAATGATGTAACACCTTGAAAGAGGTGGTTCAGGGGGTGATTTGGAACAACTTTTTCCTTAGCGAAAATGTTGTCCGAGGCTTCATTAACGAAGATGTTAACAGATAAAGCCTGGCCAATCAGAGCGCGAGGATGCCGGCAGAGCACCCACGGAAGGCGTGGCTACGCGCTAGGCGGCCGCGCTCTGATTGGTCGGGGTTTTCTGTTAATATCTCCTCAACGAAGCCTCAGACAACATTTTCGCTAAGGAAAAAGTTGTTTCAAATCACCTCCCGAACCACCCATTTCAAGGACTTCCAACATTTTTGGGACACCCTGTATAAGTCTCAACCTGATGAACACTACAACTTATCTGTATATGCGAAGTTCAGTAGTCCACAAATTTTGCTTATTGTTGGAAAAAGTTGTTTCAAATCACCCTCCGAACCACCTATTTCAAGTTGTTACAACATTTTTGGGACACCCTGTATTAATCGTAATTGTCACGTATTGTACATAATTTTCGCAAGATTGTATCTTCAAAGAGTGTAAATTTGACCAGAGAATAGTTTGAAAAGCTATTTTAGTTAGTAAGCAAATATTTTCGAAAAGAAATTTTCGAGTTTTCTAAATCGTCGAGATGGTCCAACACCTTATAATGATTTCAAACGTTTGTTTCGCTATCAGTCCACGGAGCGAAAATGGCGCCTCAATCAACTGGGCTGCCACGTAATGTTGTGTGTCGCGTCGATGAGGTACGTCTTTCCGACAATTAACGGCGAATTACACCGTAAAAAGTGCAATGCACGTCTCTCAGCGCAGTGAGGTCTAAAATTTGCTTTCTCGTTCCCGTTATAACCTCGTCAAAGGGTAAGTGAGCATTTTTTCCGGGAGCAAAATCTGCCAACTAACTTTGACTTTATACCACCTCAACATCGACGTGACGTTTTAACCTTTCGATCTTCCACTTCATTCTAATTTTTGAAAATCCCTTTAGGCTTTTTATTCCACCTCTCCTAACTCCGATTCCGAGATGCAAATTTTCTAATTTTTTTCTCGTTATAATCTCGGTTGGACAAACAATTATGTGTTTATCTCTTGCACGAATTAGTCTCACTTCGTTGGTATTTTATTTGATTATATTCATTGGTTTTATCTTATTTTTTCTCTTTACACCAGTATCGTCATATTATTCTCCTTATTTCCAGTTTGTTTCACCGCGGTCTTTATTTTTCTAGTAAATTCTACTCGATTGACGTTATTTTTTGCAAAAATTATTTTCATGTTTTTGGAATATCTTTCTGCATTTAAGAGTTAAAATAGTCTAAATTTATATATACTTAATTATGGAGTTGGGTATTACTATCTCGTATTTTCTAAACTCTAACTAATTTATCATTATTTTGACATTGTGCTTTTACTTTGGATTAAACAAAACATTTTAATAAAAATATGTTTTTCTACATTCTTAAACTACACTTGTAAATCGGAATGTTATTAATATTTCATGGAAAGTTACATTTGTAATTGATTAATACCTTAGCCGTTGTTACTTTGACCTAGTAGACATATAATAGTTTGGTATTTAAACCATTATTAATTGTAGTTTTATTTATCATAAATAATATATTTTATGTATATTTTATGAATCATTGTTTTATGAATTATATTTTGACAAACTTGATAACATTTGCTCATAACACATAATTAATAGATCTTTGATAGTGTTTTTCACTAATGCATTTACAATTTCTTTAAGCGATAACCAAGAATTAAAGTTTTATTTTTGTAAATTAAAGTTCCTAATTGATTACAGCAAAAAGATGAATAGCTGTTTGATTTTCAACATTTTTTTCCATCGAACAACAATGGAATTGTGACAGAACAAGTACTTTTTATTAATTAGTAATTTGAATATGTATAGAGAATTGTATGCTTGTTTTAAAAAATAACATTCAAATTATCTCGATTACAATGCTAACATAAAAGCAATGAATAAAGGGAAATCCAGTAGATAAGGAATACCTTCATGCTCACCTGTTTTCAAATAGTTAACAATCATCCATTTAAAAGACTTGTTGAAACAACTTCATAATTAAATGTAAACATGCATATGCTTAATATGTAGATATGAAAAATTGCATTGTAATGAAAATTACATTATCAAATGTGTATATCAAAATGTTTGGAATTGATAATTTCTAAATATTAGTTATGTGTAAATATGTTACAATTTGTTGTAATAAGAAATTAATGAAAAATAAGAAACGTCAAGAAAGTTATAATATTAATATTGTAATTAATGATAATTGTTCAATTATGAAACAATATTACACATTGAGTCCAATTTATGCATGTTGTATTGTATGACATTCTTATGTAAATATTTGAATAGCGAATGAATTATATTCTGACAAACTTGATAACGCTTGCTCATAACGCATAGTTGATAGATCTTTCGTAGTGTTTTTCACTAATGCATTTACAATCTCTTAAGCGATAAGTTTAAAAGACATTTTGTGAAGCATACATACGTAATCCTTTGCAAGTAATTAATACAATTTTAATTAGAGTAATTAATGTTTTTCATTTCTTTGGTATTGATTTATGAAAATATGTACAGTAAAATATAAACTAAAAATAATGTCTTTTCAAACAAAAGCCTTAAAAATAAAGATAATTGCGTGTAATAAAAATAATAAGTGGTCTATGTACACAAAAAGTCGTGTCACTTAGTATTGATTATGATCTGGAATGCAAATAATATTTATTAAGTATTATTAAGCTACAATTTTTGTAAATTTTCTTTATTAACACTTTTTTTACCACCATTCAGTTGAAAAACTATGTATCATGATCTACGCTGCTATAAACATAACAATGCATGATAAAGCATCCTTACAAAATCTTTTTTATTTGAAAATTGCTATCAAGGACTAAGATAAAGTACATCAACTTCATATTTTTTGCACAAAATAAACATGAAAATTATTTGTATTTTGGTCAAATGTTTTGATATATACATTTTATTAAATGTTTAATTTTTAATAAATAATTAAATTCTTCTTTCCTCTGAGTTATATACAGAATTATTATAGATATTGTAAATAATTGGAGCATTCTTAATTACTTTAGTGACGTTTGGAAATCAGCAATATGTCTCAACCAATAGACTATCAATACCGTTCGTATGGTAATGAGAGTAACTTAAAAAGTGGTAATCCTCAAATGGTAAATGGACATCCAAATGCTGCGCATCACAATGGCATGCAACCAACTAATTATAATTTCACGGGTAAGTATGTTAAACCATTATAATTCAAGTCTCCTTAAATTGAAAATCCATGTAAATCGAAGCTTTATTCATTTTGCTTCATAAAATTTTGATAAGTCAAAAATAGAAAGAAGTTAACTTAAAGCGATGCAATGCACAATTGATCTCTACAATTTGAATGCATATAAAAATTGATCTCTAAACCTCAAACTACATTTCACTGATTTTTTATGCAACTGTAATTTATTCTGTTTCTTTACATTGTATTGTCTTATACTACATTTTATTTCACTGGCTCTTGTGGTTACCATTTAGTCTCCAATTAGTGTAATACATTAAATCGGAAAAAACTTACAAACTGACTGTTATAAACAGCTTCTATTGATATCGGTTCTGAATTCATTTGAAAATGTTGAAGACTCCTTGGGAATTCAGCAAACATTATTCCTTTTATTTAAAGAATTTAAGTTATTTCACGATTCAGTTTCTACAATCTCAGACTATTCTGGTTAATAGGAACTTACAACAGGAATATACTTTTTATTTGCAACTTAAAATAATATATTATAATAGTTTATTAAAAATATACTAATATAGATTTATTTAGAACAACAATTATTTATGCAACTTTAATAAATAAAAGGATTGATTGTTTTAAGACTTTTTGTCGTTACGTTTACCATATTGGAAACTACAATATTTGAAAATGGCTGATTATATATTTAGCACGAATAAAAGTTAAAACTTCTAAATTGGAATATTATATAATTTATATTACTTCCTATTTATTTAATCTAATGAAAGTTTATGGTAAATACATTGTATTTTCAGGTACCCCATCCTCACAGTCATCACGAGATCCATCCAGAGAAACATCAAGAGATCCATCTCCAACTCCTTACCTTTACAACCAATACAGGCCACCTTTACAACGTTTACCAATGCCTCCTCCGATCAATGGTCAACAAACCCCAATGAATCCTGTAATGCCACCGCCAATAAGGTTACCCCAAAATCAGCAATATCCACCTATGTATAATGTCCAGAATCAATTTCAAGTGCCATTGACACAAAATCAAGCACCCTTGAAAGATGAATTAATAAATTCTCAAATGGATCCATCGAAATCAGCAGCTGGAGTCGAACAAAATTTGCAGCAGAGTTTACCATTGGAATCGAAACCTTATAAAAATGAGAATCAGGATAGCGTACAGGGTGTGCAATCATTTGTGCAAGAACAAAATGTGTTTCCAAATCCTATACAACAGCCTAGAGGACAAAATGTTTACCAACCAAATTTTGGAGGTCAAAGAATGTATGCAAAAAATGCACATGGTATACAACATGCTGCCACTGTACCAAATACAATGTCTTACGGAGCAGTTGGTAGTGGGCAAATGCAAATGAAGACTCCAACCACGGTCGCAGGATTTCCTGGGCAAAGAATGGTTTGATTTTTGTTATAATATTTTGGTTTGATTTCATTTTTTTGGAAAGCAATAATTTCATAGACTTTGTAGAATTCGTAGAATGCGACGTAAATATGTTCAGAAAGGATTCCTTGTAATAGAGCTACTATAAATAGTTTGTGCATTATGTCATAATGAGCATTGCCTAAATTAATTTGTTTAAAAATATTGATCATAAAATATTCTTGTTCTTCTATCTAAAAGAAATTGAAAATAATAATGATAAAGGGTAAATGAATGGATACATAAATAGGATGAGAACAAACTTAATAAATTTAGATCTTTTTTGGTCTTGATAATTACATCGAAGTACTTAACTGGAAAATTCTTGTTTAGTATCAAAGTCAGCCACCAAATCCGATGAATATACCACCAGATTCGATGAACAAACGATATCCAGAATCATATCCTGATCAAATGAATCAATTGAACAACCAAATGAATCTGATGTCTGTTGCACAAAGCGGATACAACAAATTATGGGTAAATGCATGTAATCACACTTTGTATCAGTATACAAACATACATTCGATCGTTTTAATTTTTTGCACTAAATAATTTTATTTCATTGTTATTCGAACAACACAATGACATTGTTTTATCTTGCAGGGAATGGAGACCGTCGATCTCTTGCAATGCAGGAATATTTTACCTCCACAGAAAGTCGAACTACCAAAAATCAAACTTCATCAAGAGTTTTTAGACAGCGTTAATTGCAGTCCAGAGTAAGTACTTTCTTTATTTGTAAACGAGTTCATAAAAATGTACTGCAATTAACATATTCACGACAAACATTCATCCAACAGATAATCCTCTATTTGTCAGGTTAAGGAAATAATACAGAATTACTGTCTTGAATATATTAATACGAGTATAAAATATTTGTGTGATTTTATTTTAATTATTTTGTTAACTTTTTCAGCATCTTTCGGTGCACACTCACGAAGATTCCAGAATCGAACTCTTTGCTGCAGAAATCGAGATTGCCCCTGGGAGTTTTAATACACCCCTTCAAAGATTTAAATGTACATAAATTTTCTTAAACTAAAGAATAAATTGATCTTATTTTAATGCATGGCAAGGAGCTTTTTAATTTAATTTAATTAATCGGTAATATTGCTTTAAATATTGCTCCAAATGAGATGTTTCATGATTGCATTTAACAATCACAATATTAGAAAACAATTGGATATTCTTCGGAAATCTATACTTGTTTAAATGTTTACAGTAATCATGTATTTTTGTACTTTCAGCACTTACCAGTAATACAATGTAGCACAATAGTGCGATGTCGTGCTTGTAGAACATACATCAATCCATTTGTATACTTCAACGATTCAAAAAGATGGAAATGCAATCTGTGTTACAGAATAAACGAATGTAAGTACGAATTTACTAGTTTTGTCTTTCTTCAATTTAACTTGTTACTTTATACATTATTTTATAAAACCAACTGATATATGTAAGTTCTTAGAATATTATTTTCAATTTAAATGTTTCGCAATGTAGTTGTACAAAGTTTCCTGCTCAAACTCTACATTGCTTATTTGAAGTAATATATTTTATTTGATTTTTAAGGTAAATTTTTGTCTGATTATGAAAACTATGTTTACAGTACCAGAAGAATTTCAATTTGATCCTGTAACTAAATCTTACGGAGATCCATCAAGACGACCAGAGGTGAAAACTAGTACAATCGAATTTATTGCACCTAGCGAATATATGGTAAGATAATATGATAATATACGGTAAATATATGGTATTGTACATAGATTTTGAGGTTTGATTACACGACAAATGTGAATTAAGTAAATGAGTAATAAAAATATATATATGTTTAAGCTACGACCACCACAACCAGCTGTGTATCTATTTGTTTTGGACGTTTCGAGACTAGCAGTGGAAAGCGGTTACTTGAAAATAGTGTGCAACGTAATTTCAGAGGAATTGTCGAGGCTACCAGGCGACGGTAGAACACAAATTGGATTCTTGGCGGTAGACTCTGCGATACACTTTTTTAGCATACCCGACAACGTGTCGCAACCTCAGGAAATGATTATGCTAGATATAGATGGTAAACTAATGTCAATTTACTTTTTTTATTTCCTTAGTTATTACATATCTATTACTACTATTTTACACGTGCACGATTTACATTTAAAAACACATAGTTTAATTATAAACATAATATTTGCGCAGACGTGTTTCTTCCGTGCCCGGAAAATCTGATAGTCAATTTGAAGGAACGTGAGGAATTATTGAGAGATTTATTAGCCCAATTACCTTCGAAATTTCAAGGAACTCATGATACAAATAGTGCTTTAGGTGCGGCATTGCAAGCTGCGTATAAACTTATGGTGAGTATTTTCAAATAAATATAATATGTATCTATTTAATAAAATTAATACATAAATGTAATAGTGCCTTAAAATCAAAGATATCGTATTATTTCAATATAATCGCAACATTTTTCAAGATATATTTGTACAAAATGTAGCTCCCATCGTAAAATGATTTTGTAAAGCTTTACGCCTTATAAATTGAAATTTAATTTTTTGTAACATTCTAGGATGAACTATAAAGTGTCGAAATGCATCAATTTTAATAGAAATAATAATAATGATAATAATTATTATTGTAATAACGTATTAGTTTTAGTTTATGTGTAGTAAAGAAATAGATTTTTTATTTAATTTTATTTGTATGTACTTCTAGTTACTCTCTTGTAAGTTTTCTTACAAAAATGTATTATTTGAGTATAAATAAATGCTTAGTTTGTAATCGTTTAATCTAATAAGTTTTTCTTTTAAAAGAAGCATAAAATATAAGGGAATGTTTCTAATTTCATTTCAGTTACCAACCGGTGGACGTGTGACCGTTTTCCAGACTTGTCTACCAAATATCGGTCCTGGACTTTTACAACCAAGAGAAGACCCTAATAGCAGAGCGAGTAAAGACGTTCTACACTTAAATCCTGTTACGGACTTCTATAAGAGATTGGCATTAGATTGCAGTGGACAACAAATTGCTGTAGATTTATTTCTATTAAACAGCCAATATTGTGATTTAGCCACTCTTTGTAAGTACCAATTTAAATTATTCCCTTTATTTTTAATTTTCGTTTCTATTTAAAAGTACTAGCATTACTTTTGTAATCGCACTTGTAAAGTTCAAATATATTAGGTTAGAATTCAATTATACTACTGTTTATTTCATGGAGTATTTATCTAAAAGATTTTTTAATTATTTTATTTAATACTTCAATGTTAGAGAGGATTCGGTTGTTGCTATAAATTGATTATATGGAACACAACAAAGATGTGAATCGTAATAATAAATACAACAAGAGCTAAAAGCTACGTATATTTTGTAAAAGAAATATAATAATTATAGTAAAGATGAAAATATTAGTATATCCTTAATTATAGAAAAATCATAAACAGATATATATTGAATCTTGTATTAATAAAAAAATATGAAAACGTGAGGATAAGAGAAAATTTTATTTTGCAGCGGGTATGTGTAAATTTTCGGGAGGTTGCATATATCATCTTCCTTTATTCCGAGCCTCGAAACAACAGAGCGCAGATACCCTCGACAAAATACTGAGACGTTATCTTACCAGAAAGATTGGTTTCGAGGCAGTAATGAGAATACGTTGCACACGTGGCTTGAGTATTCACACTTTCCATGGAAACTTCTTTGTGAGATCGACTGACCTTCTCAGTTTGCCTAACGTAAATCCAGATGCTGGTTTCGGAATGCAAATTTCTATAGAAGAGAGTCTTTCGGATGTTCAGAACGTGTGTTTCCAGGCAGCTTTGCTTTATACGTCCAGTAAAGGTAGGCATTATGTAAACTATTAGTCAAAAGTAAATATGTTTGATCCTTTTTCTGTTTTGCAATATCCATTGGGTAAACACGAAACTAAAAGTCAAATTGCTTCACCACCCTCAATTTTCGAGAAACACGATGTTTTGTAAAATCTCGTTATTCACTGAATGTATTTGCTGAATATATTCGCTTAGAATTATTTGCAACAGTGAATGTCAGCGAACTTGTATGATTCCGGGTGATGTCTATGCAAATATAATACACAACTTGATTGTTCAAACAAAATTTGATTGCCTCTTCAAAGACATAATTTTAAACTTCAAAAACTAATTATATTTGAAGTCAACAGAAGTGAACAGAGTGGCTATTTCTATAACTTGAATAAATTTGTTGTTTTATGAAATTTTAATTATTTGAATAACGTTAAAGGATAACGAGGTTACAGAAGATTAATAGTAAAAATATGTTTCAGGTGAAAGAAGGATTAGGGTGCACACATTGTGTTTACCGGTGGAGTCTAATTTGTCAAATATCTTGCATTCTGTTGATCAACAATGCATAGTAGGCCTACTTTCAAAAATGGGTAAGATCTATGTTACAGTGTAAAATAATCCATAAATAATTCATATATAAATAGTATAATGTTTACACAGTTTACAGTAGTATATAAATTTTATATAAATTGGATTTACACCATAATCTTCTGTTATAATAGTCAAATGCCACATAAAAGTACAGGGTTTTGAAATATTCTTCGCATTTCCATTCGCCAATCTTTTTTTCATCCTCAACCTTCTGTATTCAATTTTTTTAATTTAACGAACTTTTTAATGTAAATAAATTTGTGGATTAAAAAGACTTACCATCACATAGAAAAACTGTAGTAATTATATTATTATATACTTGCAGCTGTAGATAGATCTCAACAGTCCTCTTTATCTGATGCAAGAGATGCTTTGATAAACGTGGCCATAGATGTGTTATCAGCCTGCAAATTATCTCAATCGGTGTCTTCTGGATCGCTTTTGGTGCCAGGAAGCTTGAAACTACTGCCTCTTTATATTATTGCTTTGCTCAAATCCGTAAGTATTGATTATAAATTGTATTTTTGTGCAGTATCTATGTAACTGATATATAGTTTTCATATGTTATTTATTTACTTCTATTTAATGACTGTTCGCTGTATTAAAAACAAAATCTAAAAATAAGAATCACATTATGTTGAAGCAGAATGAGTGAGTGAGATTCAATAAGGTTGTTTCATAAAATAACTTTACTTTATTTAACCTACAACCTGTTACACATATATAGTTTAAAATTATATAGTAGACTTTTGTATGCATTTAGTTCACATATTAGCAACTATATAATATGTGTTGTAATAGTTTTTTCCATTGTAATGCGATTAAAAGAAAATACGTGAAAATATGAAATCAAAGTGTTATTATTGAAAAAACGGTATGAATGATTAAGATTTCAATGCAAGTGATAAGCAAAACGTTTGTTTTAGGTTGCCTTCAGGTCAGGAATGAGTACAAGACTTGATGATCGGGTTTTCGCGATGTGCCAGTTGAAAACTTTGCCCCTATTTCAATTGATCCAAATGATTTATCCGGATCTCTATCCTGTACATGAACTCGAAGATCAACCTACAAAGGATATCGATGGGAAACTTTGCCCACAGCCACCAAGACTCCACCTTTCTGCCGAGATGATTCATTCAAAAGGAGCCTTTTTGATGGATGCTGGGGACCGAATATTTATCTTAATTGGGAAAAATATTCATCCCGCGTTTTGTTGCAACGTACTTGGAGTCACTGGTTTTGCTTTGATACCGGATGAAATTGTAAGTTGATACGTTTAAAATTAATTATCATTAGTATAAGTATCTATCCTCAATCCACGATAATAAGTATGGAAGAATTAGTGACATTAGGTGCAGATAAATCATGATTACAATTGTCACTTTGACCCTTTTCAATTTCTTTAGCGTAGTAACGTTAATTATTAGAAATATTTCCGTTATATGAATTTTCTGATAATTGATTCAGAATAATAAAATTAGGAAATTTATGTCAAGAGATACAAGAGATATTTATGTATCTTGTGAACAGATGTATTCTTAATGAATATTATATTTTACCTTGAATGAACAAGAATGTGTCTATTTTTTGAGGTTATTTCTTAATCGGACAAATCAAATTTAGAGATAGGTATTTCTCTTGTTATACATATGTGTATTATTATTCTTAAGAAATATTTCAACTTTTAGAATCACTTATTCTCTCAAATAAAATTTTTCTATTATTTCTGATTAGTCATTTAGAACTTTGGACATTTTAAGAGAATCGGTGAATATAAATCTACATGTAAAGTGCTGCGCATATTAATATATTCATAAGTATAGAATTAATGAATTCATAGTCTTCTATTAGGATCTTTTACAATTTAAACCAAGCCTAGAAGCTAGTAACAAAATTGTATTGCCAATAAAACTGAAAATTTTAGTTGTAAGTAATAAAAGACTTAGATTTCGTGATAAATCATTCAAGAAGTTATTGTTTCGTATGTAAAATTTCTTTCATACTTGAAAAGTTATTTAGAAATTTATGTTACTATAATATTTAACAAGGGAAAAATATATATTTTAATTTTTGTAACCGAAATGGCTTCCAATATTGAAAAAAAGGACAGTTATCATTTTACGAATTTCAAACCAATAAATATTACGTTGTAGTAAATAAACATAAAGTACTTTTGATTTCTAGTACGAGCTACCAGAGATCGAGACAGCAGAAAGCGAAAGATTACGCAATTTTGTATTTAGTTTGCAAGAAGAGAAACCCTACCCTGCTTCCGTACAAATTATCCGGTAAGTAGTTTGTCCACTTTTTGTATTCAATCTTAATGTACAATATGAATTCTTTTATTTAGACATTTTTGTTTGTTTCATTATTATTAAATAATTGATGTTCATATGTACTATTTTTTTTTATTTCTAACCAATTATTATTTTATCTTATATAGGCTGATAATAATAAAAATTGTAAACACGATGATAAGATGTGCAGTAATATTCGCAATGAGATCCTTCTTTTATATTATATAGTTTAGAATAACAAATTTGTTTAAAATATCTACTTGTTTATAATAATTTTATAATTTAATGATGGAATAATCAACATTTTCATAGAACATGATGTTTATAGTTATGAAGGTGGAAAATAATATTTAAACATACTTAAAGATGTACATCATTTTCAATGATGTCGAATCGTAGCATAGTATCTTTCCGAGTTACAATTATTATAATTGTTTATTTTGAAGAATTACTTCTTTAGCGACTTCCTGTAACAGTACATTAGAATCCTTTCATTATTATCTCAGTTTAAGAATAATTACACACAAAAACTAATATTTTCTAATATGTTAAACTTCATCGTAACATAATGTTTTGTAATATCATATATTTACGTAACTAAGAATGAACGTGACATGTACTTCTAACACTATTTTTGATTTTCAGGGACGATAAACACTATAGGACGCTTTTTGTTGAACGATTAGTTGAGGATCGTTTTGAATCTGCGTTGAGTTATTACGAATTTTTGCAGCATCTCAAAACTCAAGTGAAATAATGATAAAAGAGACTGTACACCAGACTAAATGGAAAACAGAAACACTAACACGAAAGAGACATTGTTGTTACAGTGAAAGTGTTTAGCAATTGTGAACTGTGTTCAAAAGTATGAACCTCATAAAATGATTGTTTATTCGGTTGATTAGAATGAAACACTTAGGGATATCAAACCACACACATATATATATGTGTATATGTATATATGTAACATATATTTGTGTGTGTGCGTGCGTGCGTGTGTGAGTGAGCGAGTGTGCGTACACACACACAATTATATATATACATATATATATAAAATATACACATTTATATGTATATGTACATGTACATGTATACATTTATGTACATATACGTATGTAGGAATGAACGTTATTATTGTTTAAAGAGGTGTTAAAGCATTTAAATATAATTCAACTGTAATTATTATTATTATTATTTTATTACTATTATAATGATTATTATAGTAATTATTATTACTTTTATTAGTCACACTACTTTTTTTTAACAGATTGGTTTCTTTGTGAATATTTCTTCGTTTCAAAAATGATGACTACTTGATATTACTATAGTTTCTCAAAATTGTCTATGATCAATTAGTATTCCATTCATGTATTCCGATTGAAAAGTTGATTCAAATGTAGCGTTAAAAATGTCCCCTTTGATAAGACAAATTTTGCGGAACTATTTTGCAACTTTCTTTATATTAAGTTGGCGCATAAATTCGTATAATGCGATTATCGAGAGCGTAGAATCGGATAAACTAAGCCACGTGGTTTTATTTTCTCGGCTCCATGCTGTCAATAAACACAGTACATTGTTTCAATATAATCAAAATTTATTTCAATAAGAATAATTTTTTGATCAAGTGTTGCACATTATTTTAACTTTTAAACGATTACAGGATTTTTTCCCACGTAAAGTATGCAATGAGAATCTACCCCGATGAAAAAAGTCAAGTGCTGAGTATCTTTTTAACAAATATTAATATTAATATGCAGAACCTGAAACCTTAGCATTATTAATGCCACATTTGGATAGAAAAAAAAGAAAATTTTTAAATAATAATAACACTTGATCAAGAAATCGTTTTGCTTAATACAGAATTTTGATTGAAATAAATTGCCACGGATTTATGAACCAATCGTAGAAATAAATCCTTTTACGTGACCTGTATGTTTTAAATGTAATATAGTTTTCAAGTAATTAGTTAGTGAAATATGTAACAAAATGGTGTCTTTTCGACTCGGATTGATTTTGTAAATATAATTCTCTCTCTTTTACCTTGTTTCGTACAGAAATTTTACAATCACAGTAGAACCTCCGTTATGTATAGTAATCGCGGGATAAAAGTGTTCAGATAAGAAAATTTTCACATAATAGAACAAGTGGTTACCACTTCATTTTACTTAATACTTAAGACAAAATTAAATAAAATGAATAAAATTTTATTGTAGATAATTTCATATATAGAATACAAAATAAAAAAGAAATAATGTTAAATACTCCTTCATTTTAATGATATCAAAGAATAAACCATATGGATCCCACATTTGTTGGCAATTAAATTAATTTACATTTTTTGAATACAGCTAGTTCTGTATTATTACATTTCCTTCGGCTCTTCAATCATTCAAGACCTTCGAATGTTGTAAATGCCTCGAGATGAAGTAATACATCTTCACCAGCGCTGCCATTGTTATTATCTTGGCTATTTACTTCTTGGAAGTTAATTGAAATATTTTGCAAATAACTTTGTTAGAATTATGTGCTTGATTATTGCTCTTTTTTTTTACCACAAAAGTTTTTTCCCCGTTTTCTTCAATGTTAAATTTTTTTTTACAATTAATCAGGCATGTGTTTTCATAGTATATTAGTCTTTCAAATTTAATTTTGTATATATTTTAATATCAATTACGTGCACACAGTATTGTAATAGAAAATATACATCATAGACCATTCATATAATTAATCGTTATCTAATAACAGGTGTAACGGAGATTCTACTGTAATCGCAAATTAGACGTATCAGCTCTGTAATGTAAAGCAGTATATATACATGCAAAGTATTTCATCAGATATGATGTATCCAGGAAAGAAGAAATTGTGACGCCCAAAATAAGATGAGCTTGATTGTTTCTCAACCCGATCCTTTTAAAATATAAGTCATTAAATTTTACAGGAAAAAACTTATATATTTGTATTATGATTCTCCTATTATGACCTTACTCTCTGTAGTAATTTAAAAAAAAGATGGTAGTTTATCTTAATAATTTTTATTTTTCTGCTTTTCCGTAATCATTGAAACTGTAATCGCAGGATTATTAGAGAAGTAGAAATAGAAAGCGTTGTCTAGGAAGCAGCATGGTATAATAAAACTATTAATTATCGTTAACACTAAACTTACTCACGTTTCATTTGTACGTCTTGTGCACTTGTACTGTTTCATTGTATGTATACTTTTTCAAATGATTGCAGAAAAACTTTCACATGGTATTACATTGTATAATGCACAAAACAATTGTATATATAATTCATATTTTTCATATAAGATCTATACAGAAGTTTGAAAATGATCATTTGAATGGTTGTAGTAGGTTTAGTGTTAATACATGAGTCTTTTAAACAATGATTATAGGAAAATATCAAATACCATCTTATTTTTCACACAACTATTTTAACTTTCTGAACATGCAACTGCATATAAAGCATTCTGTACATACATACATGATGCGTAGAATGTTTCATTAAAAATCGCATAGAACTATATAATCATTTTGTTTCAGATCTTATAAAAAAATTACTTACTGGTGAAATAGTATGCGATATCAGTATATATTGTGCCTTTTAGATGTTCCTACAAAAGTTTTATGCTATAAGATTTAAAGAATGTAATGTGTAATTAACTGTGTTGGTAATAATAAGGAGGTACTCTCATTAGAAGATGTTCTTCGGATTTTTCTTTTCGATTTTTTATACGAAACGTATAAACATGAATAATTTTAAATTTTAACGTAAGATTATTTCATTTTATAATTTTCTAATATTGAAATATTGGAAACAGGGCCATTCCAGGTAAAATCGGACACTAAATGAACCAGTTACTCTGATTTTGTTCAAATTTGTGTATGTTGCAGTCTTTAGTGATACTAGAACGTATCTCAAAAGAACTTTTCAAAATTTCAAAAATCATGGATTTTACAGGTGTTTAAAAATCAGTGCTACACTTTTTTCTTTACGTGTTTTTATAATGTTCGTGCATGAAACTTGGTATTTATGACTTATTTGAGCAGCAAACTTTGAATCTGATATCAGAATTGCAAAATTCAAAATGGCGAATTCAATATGGCCGGTTAGTGTTTTCCGTTAATATTTCCTCAACGAAGACTCAGACAACATTTTCGCTAAGGAAAAAGTTATTTCAAATCACCTCCCGAACCACCCCTTTCAAGGTGTTACAACATTTTTGAGACACCCTGTATACGATAGTCATCGGCTATAGTCGTAGGATTTTGTCCATCTCAATTTCAGCTACTATCTACTTTGATATATTGACCCTGTATTTTGAAAGTGCAGGAAACCTTTATTTGTTATTGCTTTGTTGTTAGTAAATAAACTTTGTTATTTGTTCCAACTAGTAGTATCCCTACAAATATAAGGCTTGTACTTGACTGCGTGAGTGTATTGATTCTAGCGTTTACAGTCGGCTATTATTATTGTTCAAAACTATCTGCGCGAAGTATAGCCAGCAACATTGTTAGAATGTCAAAACATAGTGTATTTCGTGAGTTTTCAGTTACTTATTGAATTATTATATTATATATATTCATAAAGTGACATTTTTCGACCTCCACTATGCTCTTCTTTGCTCTTCTTCGATAACCTATTAGCTGTTGCAACTTCGTGTTGAAACGTATATAAAACTCGTTTATGCACCATAACCAAATATTTTTACAGTAAACGTAACTAGAACGATGGTTGGCACTTTTTCTTTCTAATGTTCGCCCCATATAAAAAAATAGATAATAATGAATATGGAAACAAGTAGTCCATCTGGCGAATCAATAAAGAAAAGCAAAAGAAAGAAAAGAACAAGGGTAAAGTCAACACCTTCAGACGAGGATGATCCACTAGCTACTGATCCACTAGCTACTGATCCACTAGCTACTGATCCAATACCTAATGATCCACTAGCTATTGATCCACTAGCTAGGGTAAGGGTAAACTCAATATCTTCAGACAAGAATTTTCTTCCTGCGTGGAATGATCCACTAGCTAAAGATCCACTAGCTAACGAAGAGTATGAATCCAACACGGAGAAAGACGATTCTGACTCTCATTCATCATCAGACGAGGAATCGATATTCAACAGCATTCAGTATGCACCGTTCAACAGCATTCAACGGAATTCAACACCAAATCTATATTTGGAAGAGGAGAAACTTTTAATCGAAAACGTTGATTGCAATAATCCTTTAGCTGTATTCAAAATATTCTTCACTGACTATATAGCAGAAATAATGGTAGAAGAAACGAATAAATATGCCGAACAATGTATGAATTCTGTATCGAACAGGAGAAAGAACTGGAAACCTGTTACAAGAGACGAGATAAATACATTTGTTGGTATATTGCTAATCATGGGTGTTGTGCAACTACCAAAACTCAGGCTATACTGGTGTAAAAGGGCCATGTATATGAACACGTGCATAAAAAGGAGCATGCTGCGTGATCGTTTTTTATCCATATTGAGATATTTACATTTTTCGGATGACTCAACAGCTCAAATAGAAGACCGATTGCAGAAAATTCGAAATATCGTAGAGAAAACTTTTGTTTGTAATAACGAAAAAACGGAGGGTGATTTGTCTAAACAACTGTTGACTTACTATACTTGTTTGTGGAAAAGAGTTAAGTGGTACCAAAAAATTATAATAGAATTAATATGCGGGACGTGCCTAATAAATGCGTGGTATATAAATCAAAAATGGGGTACCAACTATATTAATATTTTAAAATTTAGGGAACGAATTATTTATCAGTTATTGCCCAATGATCACGACGTTAAAAAAATGAAAATTGAAACACCAGCAATTCCAAATAAAGAATTACATTTTTTGGAACAATATAAAGAGCCTTCGAGCAAGTCAAGAAAAAGATGTAAGCAATGTTACAAACGGTTATCTGAGAACAAGGGTAGAGTTTGTGCCACGAGGACTGCAAAGAAGGTGTCGACTTATTGCAATGGTTGCGAGGGGCAGCCACCACTCTGTTTTGAGTGTTTTAAAGAATTACATAGTTAAGGTAAACGATAAGTTAGGATTATAATATTCAATTATTATCTTTAGAACCGAATTTTTACTTACGTTTATAATATTATGTTCAGTTTGTAATATTGAATCGTAATGTTTTTAGTATCGAATTTTTCTAATTTATGTTTATAATATTATTTTTAGTTATATTTATAATATTCAGATAAAATAAATCTACTACTTTTTTTTATAAATATATTTAAATTTCCATTATTGCAATTTTCAACCATATAGTAATTGTTTCCAGTTGGTTTTTTTCGTTGTCTGATAGAACATTCAAGCGTATACAGGGCCGGTGTGTCCTTCTGCGGGGCCTGAATTCACATTCAAATCCTACGCTTAAATTTTACAACGAGGAATTATTTATTCACAAATGCCGTTACTTATTATATATTTTTTATAAGATGAATATTAAATAATAATACTTTGACGATTTTTGTCACTCCTTTAAACTGAATCATCGCTACTAAAAAAATGTCTTGCATCTGTTGATGGTATCATCATTCTGTAAGAAGTTAATCAAATTCGATGCCTTTTGATTGGGTAATTTTCGTTGACTGCGGGGCCTCTTGAGACGCGGGGCCCGGTTCTGGCGAACGCGCTGAACCTGCCTTGCGCCGGCCCTGAGTGTGTACCACCGGTGGTACACGTCGCCCGACGAGAGATTGGAACCTGCCTTGCGTCTGCCCTGAGTGTATTTTGATTTGATTCTTTATTACAGTGTGAGTCCTGACGGACTGATTACACTGTTCGACAGTACAAAAATATATTTCTATCCGCACCAATAATTTTGTATATGTTTTCCTTCTCAAATTGCGACTTGAGTACCCAAAATTTCAAAACACCCGTTTACACGAGTCCTCGTATTTCTTTAAATAAGAAATTTATTAGATTTGCGTAAAAATTGGTACAATATGGGTTTTGTGGTCGCTAATTATGAATCTGACATTAGAATTTCGAAATTCAAAATGGCGGATTCACTATGACCGACATGTATATTAGAAATTGGTGAGTTTTGGGTAAAAATTGGTACAATATGGGTTTTGTGGTCACTGAATATGAATCTGATTTTATAAACAATAAAATAAAGATAGCAAACGTATTTTTATTGTTTATAAAGTTTTAAGGCCGAAATTGCAAAATCAGGCCTTGGAGTAAAGTGTAACGAATATATTAAAATCAGAATTATTAGAAAATATTGCTTCTTTGCTTCAATATCCTGAAAAATCGCCCTTTCCTCGTCTTTCCTGCAATTGTTGTATCGCCCTCTCTGTCCTTGTCCCAGAGTTTCCTACTTTTTACGCAACTGTCGCTGAAGTTAACTCGGAGTTTGGGTCTGGCTCCTGCGCACCTTTAATTTACCTTACCCATTGAGCTCTATCCTAACTGGAGTGTGAACTGCGAGAGAGAAGGCGGTCCGAGAGAGATGCAAGATGAGTGGTTCCGTTGGTACTATAGCAAATTAATGTGTGGAGGGAGAAAAGACTCCTCATTGTTTGAATTTCGCGGCACTCTAGGAATTATTTACAGATTAATTATGTACAGATTTAAACTTTATTTCCTTTTTATTTATATATAAAACGATAGAAACATTAATAATAATGACATAATAATGAAATAGTATACATAATTTACATACCATAATTTAGATCATACAAATATATACAATTTGGTATAGAGCTAAATTTTATTATTTGTCACAATTCAATTTATATTGTATTTATCCAATTTTATGCGGAAAAAAATCTGAAAGTAACTCACTCGACAATGTTCAGCGATGCTCGGGTAGGTTATGTTACGGCATACGTTTGTTCCCCCTCTACAAATAAATTTGCTATAGGATAATACCGGAACCACCCGTTTTGCATTTCTCTCGGACCTCCGTCGCCTCTACTTCTTCCTACAGTTGTTCACACTCCAGTTAGGGTAGAGCTCAATGCTTTACCTCACGGTAAGGTTTCTGCTTGAACAACCCCCCACCAGATGGTGCTTTACGAACTTGTTCCCAGGTGAAGGTGCGTGTGCGCATGCGCGTCGACCTATCGCTTCACTCGAGCCACGCTCGGGCCTCGGTGTCAGAGTCAGCACAGTGGTGCGGCGCCCGTGCTGAGGGTTGGTGTTTCTCGTCTCAGTCAAGGCGACAGACCGGTAAGCGCCTTTTCATCCGTTTTTTTACATTCTTCATTCGGCCCGCGTGAATCATTTCATTCATGATTTTTCCCGTTAACGTTTATTTTCGCTCGGCTCTCGATAACCATCGTATTTCCTTGAACTTTTTCGAGGATGCTGGGTGTGTTGTAGTTATTTTGAGAAAATTAGGATTGGTCTTTTTTGAGAGCCCGTGGCTCGATAAACATACCCCCACTCCGACCGCCATTTTGACTCGTCCTTACCGATCGATAGGAAGAAGATAATTGGAAATATTACCGACGCGGTGATTGTTCCTTGACGCGTCGAATTACGAAATCTAATTACTATCGCTTACCGATAGACAGGTGGCGCGTTGATTCTTCTTCCAGGTGAATTGATCGGCTGTTTTTACATCTTTTTTCCCTCCTTCCCGCTTGCCCTAACACTATTTACGATTTAAATACGATAACCGTTTTTACGTGTCGTCCTGTTTCACCGTTTCTTCGTTTCCGTCGTCGGCTAATCGCATCGAGGATGTATGTAAATCTCAGAAAATATTTGAACAACCTTAAATAAACGTAGAACGCTGTTGACGATGGATTAGTTGTATTAAATGCCACTCTTGGAACATTTTCATTTTCAAAATTATTTCTCGTTCGATCTTACATACAAGAAAGTAATTTTTCATTTGCTCAGGTATAACGTTAGATCCTTCGCTTTTAGATAGCCTTTTTTGGTTATCGAAGCAAATTTAATTTAAATAAGAAAAATTATTTTCTCAAATATAGTATTTTTTATTATTCTATGTTATTAAATTAACGCGATCTGTAACGACGAAAATCGACGTAAAGATTAGGATTGTATATGATTATATAATCATGTGGAAGGATAAACAAAAACCACATGGAAAATTTTACGTTATATTATCCGCTACTCTTAACATTTTTAATTAGTTAAACATAAAATAAAATGAATCCATTACCTTGCATTAGAAAACAATGTAGTTAATAAATGTTGGTATGTGTTCATAATACAATTAAATTAATAGAAATTTATTTGAAAACAGAAATAGTAACAATTTTATTCGTTTAGATAATGAATAGTTACATTTATTATTTCTCGAAATGTTTTATCTTATAATCAAAATGTAATTTTTATCAATGAGTAACGGGTAAAGAGTCCTCTATTTTTTATTCCTTAGTCGAAACTTTTATCTAGATAACAATTTCAGCCATTGTTACTTGAAAACATAAATGAATTAAATTAGAATAAAAGATTCTAACGCTGCTCTTTAATACAAACTTTTTGATAGTAATTGGTTTCAACTGGAAGAATAATCTGCTAAATAATGCAAGGATATTTAAATAAAAACTTGAGTTCATACATAATATTTTCGTGTACTGAAGGTTTTTTTTAAATTACATCTGTAATTTGCTGTTTATATTTATAACATTGAACGTTATAAAAATGTACAAATAAAAAATGGCACAAAATAGCGCTAAATGAGTAATTTTAATTCAGTTATTTTTGTAAAATACATAATTATGAATAATTACAGATAATCCACATTGTATATATCAAACATTATACAGAGTGTCCCAAAAATGTTGGAGTTTCTTGAAAAAGGGTGGTTCGGAGGGTGATTTGAAACAATATTTTCGGTAAGAGAAACGTTGTTTCAAATCACCCACCGAACCACCCCTTTCAAGGAACTCTAATATTTTTGAGACACCCTGTATATCGGTGACATAGAAGGTTTGTCAAAATTGTGTTTAAACATATTTTGTTAAAATACAATATTTTCGAGTTATTATGGTGTACAAGTTAAAGTAGGACACCTTGTATGTATTATACAGGGTTTCCCAAGAATGTTGGAGGTCATTAAACGGGGTGGTTCGGGGGATGATTTGAAGCAATAACTTTTTCCTTAGCGAAAATGTTGTCCGAGGCTTCGTTAAGGAGATATTAATAGAGAAAGCTCGGCCAATCGGAGCGCGAGGATGCCGGCAGATCGCATGCGGTAGGCGTGGCTGCGCGCTAGGCGGTCGCGCCCACCCGCATACTCGCGTTCTGATTGGTCGGCGTTTTCTCTTAATATCTCCTAAACGAAGCCTCGGACAACATTTTCGCTAAGGAAAAAATTGTTTCAAATCACGCCCTGAATCACCCCTTTCAAGGATCTCCAGAATTTTTGGGACATCCTGTATATATCATTATATATAGGTCAAACTCGTGTGTAAGTACAATGACAAATGTTAAATTATTAATTTATGTAATTGCATTAAATTTGATCTCGCGAATAGCATTAATTATTAATAAATGATTATGGAGTAATCAATATTTAGTAGATAATGAATGAATATTAGTGAACGTAATTACGTAAATTATCAATTTATTATTTGTAAAATAGTGTTATGAATCTGTTGATAGAAATATGAAACATAATCGAGAGTAAAATATATTTACTAATTAATTAAACAACTAATTAAATAAATAATATTAGTTTTAGAATCTGTTTTTAGCTCTTTTCCTCTACTATTTCATTTCATCTTTAAACGTTTATGAGAAAAATAGCATTTAAGCTCTTCTCTATATGCATCGCTAATTTTGCTGTAGTATAATAATAATATTCACGGAATTAAATAAAATTTAATATATCGCAATTAAATTACTAGATAAATTACAATTTCCACTTCTTTGTCACCTTAATTGAGACACCCTGTGTATTAAAAATTCGACGAGGTTTATATTCTTGAGGACACGTGCACAACTATTAATAGATCTTATTTCTTTTACCATGTTAGTGTATTTTCGCGCTATCCATTATTATACTTATCTTGTTACTCATTTTACGTAATTTATTTTCACACCTATTTTTATCTTTGCGCCGGTATTTACTTTCACTGACGGTTTCATTTTTCCTTTTTAATTATATTCACTTATCAGCTTCTCGTGTCTAGTCTCGTCTATTTTTTCCAGTGGAAGTTCAACTTGGTTAGTTTTCAAACAAATTCAATATTCTTATATTATTTTTTTTAACGTATTAGATGTGTTAAACTTATTTACAAAGACAGAAATGTAGAAGTTGTACTTACTTATAAAAGTAGAATTGTTAATGTTAAAGATTGAAGCTAAAGTTATTTATGAAAGTAGAAATACTGCAAAAAATAAAAAAAAATATATTTGAAAAAAAATAAAGGTTCGTCAAAAGGTTTGTTTGTCAATCAAAAATAATAGCAACACATCTCACTAAATTCTTCTTAATAACTTTTTTTATATTGTATTTGATTAACGAGTCAATCGTTATGGCATTATTACAGTTTCTCAAAAATTCTTCATCATATTGACCATATCAACAACGGAAAAACTTTGAATTTTCGAAAAGGAAATGATTGTTTTATAAAAATTATTTTGAAGGATAGCACACACAATTTCTATAATAATTAAATTTATTTCGTATCTCTTCTCTTGAACATTTTATAATTACATTCATAATCACGTGAAAACTCACGGTTTTTTTTTTAAAGAGATTTTTCCATTTTTAAAATGGTTTCATTGCAACAACAAAATTTAGTTCGCTATCAAAATCATTTGAACAACATTTCCGGCCGAGCTTCAACGTTTTTTAAAATAGCCAATTGTCAAACTTACTTTGCTACGTGAATTTGTTTTGAGTAGTCTTGAAATTGTATACAAAACATTTCCCTTTGAAAACGAGATTGCCTTTTGTGTCGAGTCTTTTATAAAATATGCTGCCTTTGGTTGTTCAGTGTTTTGAGCATTTTCAATATGCTAGCGAAGATAAGAAAAACATGCAAAACGTTTTTCCTTAGAGGACAACATCAAAGAGTAGTTCTGATATGTAGCTTTCACATTGTCCCTTTGACACAATGCTAATCGTATCGGGTAAAGGGAAACGAAAATATGTAGGCAAGTGAATGCAGATGAAATGCAAGGTATTTCAGCGTATCATACTAAAGCCAAAAGATTATATTAGTTTGATCAAAAGATTGTATGCATATGGTCACATGTCTAAATTTAATAAATTCAAATGGAGAACAATTAATATGTATAATTAATTATAATAATTAAAATAAAAGTTAAAAATATAAATATGATTTAATGCATGTGATCCAATGCGATTCGATAATCTTAAATGTAAGTGATATGTTTAAATTTAATAAATTCAAATAATTGAACTTAATGTTATTTCAATATAATTATAGAACTACAGTTTCATATTGTTGGACATATAAATTCAATAAATTCAAATGAAGAACAATTAACACGTTGACCGCCACGTCACCCACATATGAGTGACAGGGATATTCACTGAGAAATTAAATACATTAGTTCCAAAGGTGAGGTTCAATCACCCTCCGAACCACCCGTTTCAAGAAACTCTAATATTTTTGAGACACCCTGTACATCGGTGACATAGAAGGTCTGTCAAAATTGTGTGGAAACATTTTTTGCTAAAACACCCTATTTTCGAGTTATTGTGGTGTACAAGTTAAAGTAGGACACCTTGTATGTATTATACAGGGTTTCCCAAAAATGTTGGAGGTCATTGAACGGGGTGGTTCGGGGGATGATTTGAAGCAACTTTTTCCTTAGCGAAAATGTTGTCCGAGACTCCGTTAAGGAGATATTAACGGAAAACCCCGACCAATCAGAGCGCGAGTATGCCAGTGGATCCCCCCGCGGTAGGCGTGGCTGCGCGCTAAGCGGCGGCGCCCACCGGCATACTCGCGCTCTGATTGGTCAGTGTTTTCTTTTAATATCTCCTTAACGAAGCCTCGGACAACATTTTCGTTAAGGAAAAAGTTGTTTCAAATCACCTCCCGAACCACCCCGTTTAAGGACCTCCAACATTTTTGGGACACCCTGTATTTTGTATAGGATATACAAATCGACTTGTAGCTATAGTAACGTTAATTGTTTCCATGTTGAAATATAATATGTTGCCAGTGGTATTTTGCGGCGTTGAATATCGTAGTATAATTGGTGTTTATGGA